GAGGGAAAAGAGAAAGGGAAAAAAGAAGGGGGAAGGAGGGAGAGAGAGGGAGGGAGAGGGGGGGGGGGGGGGGGGGGGGGGGGAGAGATAGGGAAAGGGAGAGAGGGGGAGAGAGGGAGAGAGAGACAGACAGACAGAGAGAGATTATCTTCGTTTTTTTATTTTATTTTATTTTTTTTGTTTTAGCCAAGTGGTTGTCAATTAAATAATAGAAAATCTTCAATAAAACGTTCTCAAAGTGTACTAAGAGAAGAGAAAAAGATTCAAATAGATCCTCTGAATGAAAATGAAAACGAGGAAAAACTAAATGTGAAATAGAATGAAAGACAACAATGATTTATTAGAAATAATCATTGAAATATATAATAGAACTGATTTTAAAAAAACAAAACATTTAAATCTATTTCTCATACGATAAATAATATGTATTTATATAAAACCGAAAGAGTAATGTCATTGGTCATATTGTCTATGTCTAATATATAATCGTTATTTAAATTATTCAATAAATACATTATATTAAATATTGAAATTAAAATCAAATAATAAAATGTCAAGTTTACTCTTAAATAATTGATTGATATTTGCCAATAATTCTATTTAATTGAACAAAGATTAAATAGAATAATATTACTAAATAATAAATAAATTATTTATTATCTGACCGATTTAAATTGAATATGTTTTATATGAATTGTGATTAAAAAATTTTTTTATTTCAATAAATCTTTCATTTAAATTCGTCTTATATATAAATGATTAATTTCAAAATAAAATCATATGTGATATTAGATAATTGTTTTCGAATACTAAATATTATATAGATATTCTAATATAATATTGGTTAGATTTATTAAACAAAAAAGTAATTGATTATTATAATCTAGAGTGAATGACATCTTAAACAGTGAGAGAGTATATTTCTAGGATATTATGCTCATTATAATTATATTGAATAAATAATTTATTTTATGTGTTTATTTCTTAATATAAATTGATATTTATAAGGATGTGGCGGCTGTGGATATGGGAATGTGTGGTCGTAGATCTCGTCTTCATCCACATCAAAACTCACACATACACTCCGATTGTACCGGTGATAAAGTCTCTATAGATTGATAGATCGACCTTGAATTTTCAATGAATATATTGCAGATCATGATATATGATGTGAAGAAAACCAGATTATTACAGCTCATACAGTTTTTGAAATACAAACAAAACAAAAAAAATCTGCTTTGCTTGTCGGATAATTTTGGTAGCCACTGTATATATTCATGAATGCACTTAAAAAACTTGATGACACATAAGTTGAGGCCCGTGTATGACATGAGATACAAAGCACTTTGAAATATCGATTACCTAAGAAAAGTTCCGAAAAATTTAGCGTTTCTTTTAACAGAAAAAAATGGACCAGCTAAGAGATGAAAAAATCAAAAAGAAATACAAACAGAAAGTAATAAGTAAACAGTTTGTATGCTAGCAGGACGATTGGGAAAAATGATGAAAGACACGTCAATAGTCTATGGTTATTTTCTCTACTGAAAGGAGGGTCTTACGCCGAAATGAGTTGATTACGTTCGTTCTTGTGTGTGTATGTGTGTGTGCGTGTGTGTGTTCGTTCGCACAGAACGAAAAAAATGTTTTTTGACCTGTTTCAACTGACTCATCTATAAAGTTTGACCAAAGGTAGTCGGGGTCAGGGAACTCGAATCCATGATTAGTTTTTTGAGATTTTGAGTTTTGGTTTTTTAGGACAGCGAAATACTTGTTTACAAAAAAAAAATTTTTTTATAAAGTTTAACCAAAGATAATCGAGGTCGGGGAATTCGATTTCGTGTGTAGTTTTTCAAAAATTTGAGGCAATTTTTTACTGAACAAAGACGACTGCGCAGCGGTCTATTGCACAGAATGAAAACATGAGCTTTTTGAAAAAGTAAGACTAAGCAACCAACAACTGACGGATCAGAGGTATTTCGAAAGTATTTAGGGATAGCATAAGGGCATTATTAATGGCTACGATCCTAAACAAATAAATTAAATTGATGCAATTAAGAGAACGACTGTCGCTTGATTGAATATTAAATGGTTAATGATCTGCCATAGTTCAAGTAAGTTTATAATGCATTAAGAGCTGTTTAGATTGTGACATTTTCGTGATAGAAATTCTTTGTAGTGAAGTTTTTCAAGGGTACAAGTCGATGATATTGATAATGGTAGATGTATCATATGTTAATATGAGATCTTATTAGGACTAGGCTATAGGCAACTTCCTGTGGAATTGATTCTCAATTTGGCAACGGCTAGTCGTGAGTGGCGCCGACGAACGACTAGCCGCTCACCTGCGTATGTCGTTGTTTCATTGCTTAAGAAAAACTTAGTATTGAAACAGGCATGGTTTTGGAGAATACTGCGCTAAGGTCCCTTTCATCAAACAGTTCAACATAACTCCATGTTCGTAGATTGTGCATAAACCCTAAGATGTGGAAGATTTTTTATGGAAGTCTTCAGTTTATGCATGATATGTCAACTATTTTACTTGAGCATTAAAAATTTATTCAAATTTATCAGCTAGAATTCTATATCAGCACATGTACGAACGTTCATAAACTGTATAAGTACTCGGTAATCTTGTCTTATTCTTCTCAAAAATTGTAAGGAAATTGTCGCATATGCAGATGAATCCCAATTAAATTAGTCTCATAACTGTTGTTGTCGGATTTCTTGAAAATTCTCTTGGTTTTCATCTAATAATTATCTAATGAAGAGAAGTTTCAATAAATCATGCAGTGTTTAAATAGGACACGTTGACCACGTATACGAAACAAACTAGTAGAGGAGACGGCTAGCCGTGAGTGGCGCCCCAGAGGAGCGCCGACGAACGACTAGTCGCTCAGTTAAAAATTTGTTGTGATTAAGACTACAGGGCTTGAGGACTTATAGAATAGTTACACGTTGTCTCGATCAGAAAAGTTGAAACAATTTTCGAAAGTGGTAGAAACCTTCAAGTTCTTCCAAAGGAAGGTCGTGAAATAATTGCTCAACTCGTATGAAATATTTGAAACTTATATTTATCGCGAATGTCTTAATAAGTTTATTTTTTCCTGATTGGGAGTGGGTTTGATTCAAACGAAGTAAGTGTTAGATCTGTGTATCTTTGAACCCGCGCCCCAGAATGCATATATGAATCAGAGGCCGAAAACACACCTAAACAAAATGAATCCAAATGGATTTGAGCAAAAATGAGGAGAAATCTAACGAAAATCGAGTTAGAAAAAGCCAGTTTGATTTTATCTTTGATCTACTCGTGTAGATTCATGTTAAATATTTAGTCTATAGACTAATTTGAGTTGTAGTTCTACTGAAATGGAGTATTTCGATCATAGCTCTTCTGGATGGGTCTTTTTCTTCACGCCGTTATCGAGCTGATCGAAAGTTTTCGGAACATAGCTTGAACTACAGCAGATCGGATGCACTTAACTTCACTATCGCCATTTAGTATTAGTAAGTAGTACTTAAATGCAGTTTTCTTGGTGATACTTCCAAGCAGGTCTGTCTTCTATTTATGTTCGGTTATCAATCGTTTTTTCCATGACAATCATTTCGAAGCTATAAAAATGTAAAGTCTATCAGCTAGATAGCTTTGGATAGCTACGTTCTACATGACAAAATCCTTTCAGTAGAGAGTTGGCGACGCTAACGTCGCGTTACCTTGTATATAATAAATAAAAATAAATTTTTTGTTAAAGGTATCTCAATATTGTTTTGCAACATGTAGTTATCGAGAAAGAAAATCAGAACCAACTGAAATGATGCCACTTGAAGGTTATACTGTTGATTATGCTGAAGCAGATAATGGTAAAAATAATCTTTTTTTTAAATAATTATATAAAATAAATAAAATTTAAAAAGGTTTAATAATGCATGATGGAAAATATTTTTTTAAAGCTGTACGTGAAGGTGATGTTGTTACATTTGCAACAAATGAAGAAAATGAACGACATAGTTGGGTACAAGCATTATATCGTGCTACAGGTAAATTAATTGAAAAATAATTTTTACTAATATAAGTAGTACTAAAAAATGTTTAATGTTAAATTATTTCATGATTGATATATATTAAAAAGAAATGTTTCAAGTGTTTTTCTAATTGCATTCATTGTTGTTCCAATTGTCTATGCAGATAATAAACGATAATAATAATTATCTTTGGATTTTTTTGATAATATATTTAAATATTTCTTTACCGAATTTTATTCCATTAGTACCACACATGATAACAAGATGAGTTTGATAATTAACTGCCCATCGTTTTAATTCTCTTCGTCCACATAAATCTGTTTGACCAAGAGAATGTAATGAATAACCTTTATTATCAATTGGATAATAACCAGTTCGATTAGCTGTACGCTGATCGACATTGAAATTTACATAGAAAATATTTCACATAAAATTTGATGAAACTCTTTCTGAATCGATATCATCATTATCATTAAGTAATGATGGATGTGTATAATAAGGTGGATTGTAACTAAAACAAGAGGAAATTAGGATTTAGATGGTTGTTAATTATACTACTTTAGTGTAAATCGACAATCTATGGAACTTGATCATCATCTATTTGTTGACGTTGAATTTATATTCCGAGATAAACTCCTTTACGAAAAAAATGATGAATGGATAAAAGAGATTGGTCAAATGATGAACGATTTTGTAAAATTTTGATCTATTAACGTACAAAAAAAGAACACTCGAGTATTAAAGTGGAAAACAGTACTTGCTGTTGATAATGATGTTGTTCACATGTATTGGCAATGATATTCTGGTATGGAGATAAAAATTTTTCGTTATCAAAGAGACTTTTTTCTTCAGTTGTTAATATTGGGTGCGATTGTTTAATTATTCTTTTTTATTTAAGATTTAATAATTGACAACAATATAAAAATTTTTTCCACATATCTATTATAAGTTGATTCGATGTATTCATCTTGTCTTTTTTGTTTTAATTTTTATTCTTATAAGACATTTAAATATGTATTAAAGACAACAAACTTGAACGATCAAAGTCATATTAGAATGATGAATAATGAATTCAATTTTCAGAAAGTCTAATAAGAATTTTTCTTTCATTTCAAGTGATAATATCAGAAATTAGCATAAAAAAATGAAATAAAAGAAAAACATTAAACTATTAAGCACTTTATATATTTCATTTTAGCCTGGTTCACCTATATTCACTGTTTTACATTTGTCTGATATTCATGTTGATTTTCCTTATACACCTGAATCACAAGGTGATTGTCCTCAACCTTTATTTTGTCGATGTGATCAACAAAGTGAGTATTTAGAATGTATTAAGTTCTGCTAATGATTTTACTGTATTTAGCTTCAGGTCATACAGGTGCCGGTTTCTGGTAAGAACTGTCTTCTTTAATAAGATCGATTAGCATTGAAAATATATTCTTCATTTAGGGGTGATTTACGCAATTGTGATATTCTATATTGAACAACAGAAATTATACTTCGATATGCCGCTGAATTAGAAAAAGTAATTCTAACTTTCTATGAATACAAAACACACTTTTTCATGTAAGTTGATTTTATTATATCGATGATCGACCACCTCATAATGTCTGGAACCAATTTCTAGAACAATAACTCTATTCACTTAATACTATCAATTAATTATTAGCTACTACTTTTCCTAATAAAACATTCTATACAGCACTTGGAAATCATGCAGCAGGTACATTGTAAAAAAGAAGTTTTTTAAGAAACCTAAAAGAATTCTTCTCACGGATACACCGGAAGAACTTTTTAGAGTTTCGTAATGGAAATCTTTTTTTTCAAGTGTAGATTTCTACTAAAAATTTATATATTTCTCATGTGATGAAAATCACGCAAAAGTCGATGATTTATCGCCGTTTTGACGACATAGGTTATGTAATCTTCTTTATTGTTTAGTTCCATGTAATATTTTACCTACGCCTAACATTCGCTCAGATAACATATCATGGTTATATCAAATCCTAGCTGATAATTGGATCAAACTTGGTTTACCAGCTAATACACGTCAAAGTATTTAACGTGAAGATTTTTATGCAACAATAATCTGACCTGGTTTACGTTTGATTACATTAAATATGAATTATTGTTCATCGGAGAATTTTTGGTTATTTATTAATTCAACTGATCCACTTGATCAACTTCAATGAGTAAATTACTCGAGAAAAAAAGAAAGTAATTGAATATATTAACTTTATAGATGATTAAATGGTTACAAAATGCTGAAGATCATGAAGAAAAAGTTCATATTATTGGAGATATACCACCAAAACAATGTTTAGCATAATTTAGTTGAAGTTTTCATAAAATTATGAATCGGTAAGACTTAAGATAAGTTCTTCTTCCAAGATTTTTGATTGTATTAGATATGAAAATACAATTGCTGATCAATTTTATGGACCTACACATAATGATGAAATCGATCATCAACGTCCAGTTTCAATGGTTTGTTATTTTCTTCTTTTTCTTATTTCAAAAATTGTCAATATCATTTTTTTCGGAATATATAACACCATCATTAACAATTTTTTCTAATCTTAGTCCAGGTTGTCGTGTTTATAAAATAGATGGTCATTATCCAGAAAGTTCATATTGGGTACTTGATCATCGTGCAGTAATTATGAATTTAACAACAACAAATATGTATAAAAGAAGAATTTTTATTGATGAATATAAGGGTTGAGATGCATATGAAATGAAAAATTTATTTCCAAATGATTGGCATAATCAAATTCAAAGATTAAAAAATGATATTGATGATACATTAATGGGTTTAGTATATCAATATTATACAAAATCATATGCAAATGGAAGTCAATGTGATCATAGTTGCCATCGAGGATTTTTCCATGATTTTATAGCATCTCAATCATAAGATCCTGATACATGTGATTTGCAATTCCTGATTAGATTTGTTGTTTATTTTTGAAAAAGAATAAACAGAAAAAAATATATGAAAGTAATCAAGTTCATTTCCAATTATTTTTTGTGTTTATCCAAGAATACCAGATTTTATAATATAAATGTTGGCCGTTGGAATACCCAATGGTGAACCTACATTTTATATAAATATAATAGATTTTGATAAGAATAACATTAGTCAAATAATATACCATAACTTTCGATTATCTTAACAACATTCATACCATCAACAACTTCACCAAAGACAACCTATGATAAGAGAGAAAAAACAGCAAATAAAAAAAATAATGAATTAAAACATTGTACATATTTGCCATCGAGCCATGGTGTTACAACAGTAGTAATAAAAAATTGTGAACCATTGGTATTTGGACCACGATTAGCCATTGATAAAAGACCGGATTTTGAATGTTGATAAATGAAATTTTCATCAGCAAACATTCCACCATAAATACTAAATGAAAAAAACAATAATTCATATTTAAACCACGATATAAGCTTAAATAATCAGCCTACCTTTTACCACCGGTACCATTACTATTTAATTATAAAAAAGAAATCATTATATTTATCGAATACAATTTTATTTTATTATTTACTTACTGATTGGTGATATCACCACCTATTAAATCAATTAATTAATAATACAACAACCATATAAATAAAAATCTTTACCTTGAACAATATACTGAGGAATTACACGATGAAATCTACTTCCCTCATAGCCAAAACCTTTTTCACCTGTACATAAAGCTCGAAAATTGGCTAAAAAATAAAAATAAATTTCTAGAATGAAGAAAGTTTTTTATTTAAGATACCTGCTGTTGTTGGTACAATGTCATCGAAAAGCTATAGAAAAAGATACAAAAAATATTTATTCGTTCAAGAAAATATTTCTCAATTATACTTTGAATTGAATACGACCAATTGGATAATTGTTGATGGATATATCAAGATAAACATTTGGACAAGATTGTGATGGCATCTGATTTTTTGTAGCTGCTGAATTTCGAAGTGCATTTGCGATGCTTTGATTAAATGTATCAATTGATGTTTCTTCTGCAAATAAATTTCTAAAAAAAGAATCTGATAACATAAATTTAAAAAACACATGAAATCGATTACCCATTTAATAAATGTTCGTTTAGTCTGAATGTCGATTTATATGTTTGATTATCAGAACGCTAAAAAAATATCTTGACGGTTACTACGTTGATAAAAAGTAAACTTACAAAGTATTTGATCGTGTACTGATTCCCGAGAAAGAAATGTTCTGTATTAATTATATAGTTTTCACTCTTATATTTGATTGAAAATGGTTTATCATTTTTGTTTTGATAATGAAATAATTGTTCATCCTGTGAAGAAAAAAAGTAAGTTATTTCAAAGATATAATAATTATTTCACCTGTCCATCAAGAACCAGAAACTTTTTTTTTAACATGCATAAATGGAACAGGATGATAACTTTTTCGTCACTATGACATAATTGATTGCCATAGATGTTAAGTAAATCTTGAAGTGAATAAGACATATCTAAAGAGAAATGAGAATGAGAATGAAATGGAAATTGTTTTCATCTTTATTGATTTTCGTTTTTGCATTTAAATAATTAACTTCATTTTCTTTGTAATTCTTCATATTGTTGTTTTTTCTTCATTCATTGGTTATATTCCTTTGGTTCTATATATATATATTATTTTATAACTTCAGAATTGACGAATAATGAAAAAGAAAGATTTTTGACCTTCGGATTAAATATGATTTGAATCAAAAGATGTCTCTAAATCTTTTTTATTTCTTGTTCAGATAATTTAAATAACACTTGTTGTTTGATTACTAACAGTCGCTAATCTTACACATATTTTAGAAGGAAACATACAAGATTAGTTTTGTTTGCTGCATATAATGAAGGAATTAGAAGAAAATAAACGTTTAGTATTTCATAATCATTAAAGATTTATTTAATCACTTATCTGTTTGAATATTTTTCTCAATATTAAATAAAATTCTGCTTGAAAATTATCTTTTTAAATTAGGATAGATTTACTCATGGTCAGTCATGTTTGCAGTTCTCGAAGAACAAAACAAAAGAGTTTGAAAGACATGGCGCTTGATCATTGAATGCAGTCCCATTAGGTTATTGATTTATATATAAAGACAAAAAAAAACAGTAAGTTTCTAAAAACTTAAGCAAAGAGAATTTTTTACAAAAACTATTCATCAGTAATTTTCACAAGTTCTCTCATAGTATGCTTGTTTTTTAAATTTTAATAGATCGATTTTAAGCAAAAAAATGTAAATTCAATTTTATTTTTAACAAAAGAAACAAAGTTCTATTTAGTTTAAAAAAAAAGAATGATTCCACGCATCAAAGATAATAGAAAGCTTAGCTATGTCATATAAAATGTAGAATATACGAAAAATGATGTTCTCATGAACAATTCAGCTATTACATAGCTACAGATGAAATCTTTCCAATTATTTTGTTAGAAGTTACATGCAGCTTTCTCATTTCCATTTGTGTCATCAGCTAATGAACTTTTTAACTTTTACTCAATGACCAAACTAAAGATATTCAATACAAAGTGCAGCATTTCCTAGAGATCTGTATAATTCCTCATTTCGCCTTCCACATCTCTATGTACCTAGATTCATTGATGAGAATTTTTCCTTCGATTTTTAGTTTAGCATTCTTGAGAAGAATGCTTGTGAGAAACTTTGTGTGGATGTTTTAGTCCTCATCCGTAGCTAGATGACACGTTCTATATGTGTGCCCTGGTTGACTGTGATAAACAACGTGTTAGATTAAAGAAGAATAAGAGGCGAATTTTCGATTCGTATATATACTACTTTCTCGTTTGAAAGACTTTCTCCTTCAATTTTGTGATGCGATTATATCGAGATAGGTACATCGTATGATGCTCGTTGAAATATGATTAGAGACACTAACATAAGATCTGTGTATGATACAAATGTTATCCGATGGTGGGTATGATGTTTTGTTGGACCAAAGTTAAATCTCGATATTATAAATAATCTATGGATTTTATTTTTATTATGTCGATATAATGAAGCGAAACTAGATGATGATCTTAGCAATGATTAATTATCGCTACTATTAATGATAATCCATCAATGAACAGTTAATGACATCTTTTTTTAATGTGATATGAAGCACTGTACAGTAGTCAGTCGCGACTATTTTTGGTTTCTCGATATATAACTCGGAATTGTTGTGTTGGACCGTGATGATCTGAAGACCGAAGAGTCGTATGATTTTTTTTTGAAATATTGTAACAAAGTTGCATATTTCTATACGATCAGTTTTGTTTTCAGAACTTCCATACGAGGTTCCGTTTGTATTGTTGTAGCTCCATAGTATGACGACTCTGAAGTGAGAATTTTTGTTTTTTTTTTTCAAAATAAGGAAAAGATAAGCGAGACTGATGGGTACGAAGTAATGACAAGAAATTTCAGCATCAACTCTGAGTGTTCGTTAGATCGAATGTTGCTACCACCTTTCGAAGTTTTCTTCATATCGAAGATCTTTTTGACATGTGCATTCTGTTTCTTTTACTAATAAAAGATCAAAACGGATTCGAAATAAAAATCAACAAAAATAAATGGAAACTTAGTCAAAAACTTTCATGCATCTGAGTACTAAGAATTTCAGAGAATTTTTCATACAATATGTTTTTATTTTCAATTAATGTGAAATCTGATAAACCAAAATTTTCCGCCAAATTAGACATTTCAACTAAGTTGAAAATTATAGAAATCTCATAAATGACGAGCCCAGTTTGGAGATGTGCTTCGGACCAAGTTCGCATCATGAGCTTAGCCTCTGTGCCATCTGGTTATTCAACAAGACCGTCTGTTTCTTTGTCCAAGTGATAATCACATACAAACTCAAAAAAAATAATAATAAGAGAACACGAATTAAAAAAACAAAACGACAATGTTGTCTGTAATTAATTCAACATTGTTTTATTCTTTGAAAAATCCATTTCATCCATGCCACCACCAACTAAAATATACGTAAGAGAAAAGAAATAATTTAATTCAAATAATAAAATAGAATAAGCATTACAAGATACTATTGGTGATGCTTCATTATTAATTAAAACAGAAGCTGTTGTTGACGCACCGAAATCTGAAAAAGGTGCTGCTCCATCTATGGAAGACAATATCTATTCATGAGATATTCTGTTTTGTTAAATGAATTAGATTGTTTCTTTTTCTCCTATACATTTGTGGGTGGTGACATCGGTAGAATGGATTTTTGAAAGAGTAACACAATGTTGAAATACCTACACAGGACATTTTTTTAATATCTGTTTTTGTTTTATTTTCTATCTTTGTATCCACCAATTATATACCTATTAGGCAATGAAAAATAGAACGATAAATACCAATAACAGTGTCTGAGATGGAACCAAAAAACTACTTTAGTATAAAACAGAAATTATATGTTCAATACAATTTTATTCAAGGAAAAAAATAATTTACATTTGTCCTTTTTTGTGTATTCTGAAAAAAAAACAAGTTGAAAAAGTGCAATTCATTACACTGAATCAGGTCGACGAAGCCTATAAACGATTTGTATAATTATTTTTTGAGCACGTTTGGAATTAGCACATAGACAAAAATAGACGACTGTATTGAATAATAATGAGTGTGAAGAGAGCCTATTGCAAATTATTTCATCGAAACATTCAAAATATAGACAGCAACATAACAAAACAAGCAACAAAGTTTGTAAGAATGCTGCATCTTCCGAAAATCCGTCGTGTGACTAAAGTCAAGAAAGTTCGACAATATCATCGGCATCGACATCGACTTGTAAGTTACTTCAATAGATTTAATATTGGATTTTTCAAATGCAAAAAGTACAATAAAGTACATTTGTTATTTTATTTATCATTATTTGTTTTTGATTGGCAACTAACAGATTCTAGGTTACCCCTTTATATTCAGTTGGTTTTTGTTTAGAAATAAGATGAAAAATCTTTCTATGTTATTATTGATCGCTCATAAATAAATATTCATCGGATGTATTGATCAAACGATCAATAGACGAGATTAGTTCATTGACTGTACATGAAACTTGTAGTTCTCGATGAATTCACTTGATAATACACATGAAATCTTGAATTTTTATATCCGATAATGAAACTTTTACATTAACCCTTAAAAGCCGAATGTCTCTTCCAAGGGACATTTGAATAACTGCAATAAAAACCTTAATAAGACCTTGTATAAAGAAACCAATATTTTTCTGGACTAAGAGGAGCTTGGAGGCCATACCGAGATCAAAATATAATTTTCAAGTGACTGCCAGATGGAACATTAGATCTCTTACGATTGATAATTTTTTTAATGTCACTTTTTTTTCTTAAATTCTTGTTTAATCATAAATGCAACGTGTAGCCTTGTTTATTTTACGGAATATCCTTAAATATAGCATCAAGGTATCTGATGAAACCATTCCGTAAGTTTTTAACCGATCTACTGGCAACTTATGCCATCACAAAGAAAATGCTCGTTGGATGAGATATTCAGTCTCATAGAAAAATCGAAACAAAGGAATTTTAATTTAAAATTTTGCTCATACGTAGCTCCAATGATATTTAGAGTGCTCTGAAATTTTCAGCAACAACGGTTATTTCTTTCTCGAGATATAGAATGTTGCAAGAAAGTCGGTTTTGGGCAGGTTTTTTCAAAATGTGGCCGTTTTTTTGGGTATCAAATATCTCAACAAGAAAGCATCCATTTTGCGTAAAAATTTCAGGGTGAGTTGAGGACTATGAAACCTACTTATGGGAAAAATTTCAGGTCGAAATAACTATCTTTCATTTTTTTACAAGGCCGGATATGTCTCCGAAAGGGCATTGCGTATCTCTGGCAGAATAGCAAGGTAATTCTTTTTAGCTATAGTATGAGTATACTGAGGGTCCATAATCTCTATTTTTGTGACTAGCTTCCTTCTGTTGTAAGAAAAAATCCCTTCGGCTGTAAAGGGTTAAAATCGTTCAATTCCTCTTATCCTTTATTTTTTCTTACCATGAACTTATAATTTCTACCGTCCATTGACTTACTCTCACACGCATCATTTTTCGAGTTCTTTCTCTAAACGTCTGAATCAATCATTGATGCATGAAAATTGAATTTTATTATTGTATCACTCATTTCATAAGCCCAACAACGATTAAAAATGTATCATTGTCAACAAAATCATATACGGATTTCAAAAATATTGGATTTCGATCCTGTAGTAGAAAATATTGATTCAATACCTTCAACACCTTATTTATCGATTGAAACAAGAAAACAACTATCTGTTGATGCATCAATGGCACAGATACCTCTGTTGGAATCTCAAGCGAGTATTAATGATAATCATGGTTCAGATTTACAAAACAATTCCTTAGAACAGTTGAATATGAACTTTGTATATGACAAAGTTCAGAAGTCAATGGCTCCATCGAATAGATTTGAAAATGTAATGCAGAATATTTTCTTTTCCGCATGGAAATCTATTTGTCTTTAGATTTCATCGAATAATATGAAATCTTTCAGTAATGCTGATCAAAAAAAAGTTCGATTATAGTAGATTGATTTTCATATGATGAATTTATAATATTTTTAAGACGATCATATCATCAAATAGTGTTGATTTCAGTGCTTCGAAAAAATTTTCACCAAGAGCAACTAATTCAATGCCTAATTTTTATATTAGGACCAATTCTTGGCAAAAAACTTCGAATGTATTATCTTTAGTTAACGATAATAGTCGCATAAAAAATTTCATCGATCGTAATAAAGAGGAAAACAATGAGAAACGACGGCAACGACGTCGTCGTCGTCGCGGAGGATGTTGGATTTTTTGTTGCTCATGTTGTTCACCATGTTGTTGTTTATTAACAGGCATATTCTTAACTTTACTTTTTGCCAGCGTAGCAGCATTCATTGGAATATTCATTATAACGATGACACAAAGGACTACGTCAACAAGTATGAACACTTATTTTCTTCGATCTTTCATATATTTGCTATTTTTTTGCATGAATAGCGATAACGACTACAAGTAGTAGTACGAGTACGTATGCTACTTTTTCCAACAAAAAACCAATTCAGTTTTTGCATGCCTTTTATTTAGGTACAACAACGTCTGTAACTACAACAACAACAACATCAGAAACAACGACAACTTCATCTACTAGCACTTCATCTTCGACAAGTACAACGTCATCATCAAGTACTAGCTCATCTTCAACAAGTACAACGTCATCATCAAGTACTAGCTCATCTTCAACAAGTTCAACATCAACATCTAGTACTAGTTCATCATCAACATCTAGTACAAGTTCATCTTCAACTAGCTCGACATCAGCATCCAGTACTAGTTCATCATCAACATCAAGTACTAGCGTAACGACAACGAGTAAAACAACCACTTCCGTGACAAGTATGTAGTTTTTCACGGGAATATTCTTCAAACTCTACTTTTTAAGATAAATGAACGAGAAGTAGTCGCCATTATACAAAAGAATGAATTCGAATGTATTGAATTCTTTGCACTTGATTTGCTTGTAATTACATAACAATTCATTTTTTACTATAGAAAATTGATCGTACTAGGAGTGTTACGATATAGTTGGATGGAATTATTGAAGAGATTTTTCCTCAAAACTATACATTTAATTTGGAATCAAATGTTTTCAATCACTATAGATCCTCATGTTAACAATTTTCTGAATCTAGTGAGAAGTGATGTAGAAACAGCCCCGTAAAATAAAAAAAATTTATCTAACACTATCTCTCCTCAAATTTATTTCCTCAATCACTGATTGATTTTACTAATTTTAATGCCTGTATTCCTTGTAAAACGATTTGACGCTAGTGTAAGACAAAATAGAATTTCTCACCTTAAAATTAATTTATATAACATAAATTCTTCTCCATCATAACCATTACAATGAATATCAAACATAATGTGGAGTTTTTTCCATTACACCTATATGAAACTTAAAGTCTCATTACCTTTCATAATCCAAAGTTTTTGTTTTTTTCTAATCATTATATACTCTGAAGTACATATAGTTGCTATTTATTGAGTATATTTTGAAATCCAAAATTGATGTTTAAATGTTGAAAACTTCGAGAAGAAATCAAATTAGCGAAAACTATACATTGCTTCCTACTAGATCGAGCTGAAATATTTGTATACACTGTTTGGGATCATTATGTTTTTTTTTCGTTTCAAAAAATACTCTTCTGCTGATTTTTTTGTGGCTCTTAGAAAAAAGGGTTCTATTTTTGCGCTGTAGTCGTGAAGAAAATTTCAAATTTTTCTGATGAGCCGTCCTCTAGAAATTCCAGAAAGGGAGAGGAAAAGGAGTGTATATTCTTAACTAATATAGCATTATATATAGCGGCAACAACTACTATAACTAAAACAACTACTACAACTGCAGCAACTGTTAGTAAGTATTCATCGTGTAAAAACAATACTATATTTAACGTTTCTTTGTTAAGCAATTACTTCCAATACATGTACTTCTGGATGGAAAGGCGTTACTGTACTTTATCATTGTAATAATTGTCCAGATATACCACCATATACACAATATACATATACTTATACAGCTATTTCAAATAGAACTCGTATTGCATTTTCTTTTCGTGAAGATGAAGGTTGTTTTGCACTTGATGCTGTGTCAGTACGAAGTATAGCAGCACCGACTATTGAATTAATTGCAAATAATGGTTTTGAAACTGGTACATTGTCATCATGGACTTATTGTAATCCGAACAGTGCAATAAGTGCTGGTGCAGTTATGCAAAACTCAGATAGTTTTCAATGTATGGGTTATACGGACCAAGCTCAATCAGGAAGTTATTTTTATTATGATGGAGCAGTAGGAAATTGTGATTATTTAATTCAAATGTTTTCAACAATTGTTGGTCAAACATATACTATTTCATATTGGTTATACAATCAAGGCAGTGCTCACCCGAGTAGTGCTGATGTGATCATTAGTATCTAAAAAACTGACATTTTCTTTCCAATAAACTTTGTCCTTGAGTTTTCTAATTCTTTACTTTTAATAAACGTAGTTTATATTGTGTCATTTTTCTTGAGATGAATTTTAGTTAAATGATGCTATAGAAGAAATATATGACCATTTTCGTTCTTTACCAAAGAGCGTCAGAGGACACATGATTTGCAGGACCTCAATAACAATATTTGAGTCCTGCAGGATACCTAAGTTACCTAATTGCTCGTGATTCAATGAAGTTCTGGTGTCGTAGTGAAATTCGTTGGAGTTTTTGAATTACTATCAATAGTAGTCGCAAGAGTGCATGCCATACCTAAATTATGATTTACATAGAGAAGAACATGTTTATTTATTCGTTCTTATGAGAAATTCAAGAAAAAGCAAGAAAAAAAGAAGAAAATTTATCCTTTTGCATTGTACGTCTGTCTATATATGTATTTCTCATTTCAATTCTACTGAAAAACCTATGACAAGATTTATTAACATGATTATTGTTTCAATAGAGGGTCTATGATATTTGACATAGTACCTCATACACAGACAAGTTTTAATATCCTCGTGAAAAATGCAATGATTTCATCGAATTGTTTTAAAACAAAATAGGCTAAAAAGTCACTATCTTTATATGTGTATATCAAGATAGTTATCATAAAATTCTTTTGTATCAACAAATTCATCGAATTTTTCTATCATATTGAAAAAATAATGTTACAGGAAATGATAAGATTTATAACAATGAAAAGATAAAGAAAACTATACGATATAAAACAAAGATCATAAATATTTTGAACAAAAAAACAATATTTCAAGATAATTTTTCCAAATCTTTATATAATGAATTAATACATTTGTATCGACCATTTCACTTCTTGAATCAGTNTCAAAATATTTGTACTTTCTCAAACTACTATTTATATAAAAGTATAGAAGTAGAAACTTCAACAATTTATTGTACCTGAGAATAGGTCACTGAATTGGAAAGCGATATAATTTTACTACAAGAATTCATTTTTTAATGAAAATTCATCAACACATGATGATGAAGTAGCTGAATACGTCGAGAGGAAAATGAATTATCGTGATGGGAAAAGCATTCATGTATGTATCTACAATGATGATATTTGGCACCAACATATTGCATTGCATTCAAGCATCATCAGCAACAAGCAAACTTATACTTATAGAAATGGATTGGATTTGAGAGGCATAAAGACACCAAGCGAATGCTGAATGACTTGCTTTTTTGTTGTTGTTTATGGAAACAACTAAATAGTATACTTTTTCATATACAATAAAAGCTTAAAAATCGTACTATGACTGTGGAAATCTCTACCAGATGTCGGTCAGCTTCGGTCCAATCACATTCTCAAACTAATTAACATAATTGATAAACTACAGATATTACTCGTACTTAAAATTCACATTGTTTTTCAATCGTAAAAATTTTTGAATAATTTCTGTTATTTATAAAGAACATAAAGTTTAATTTAAAAAATGATAAAAATGCAGCCCGAGACAAAAATCTCTTTAGATCGGGTGGCCCATGTTGAACCTTGTTTCATATCTATAGTAACATCTTTCAGTACTTTTATGCTACAAAAAAAACATAATGCTTTTCCACTATAGATTGCTTCTTTTTGCTTGAGAGTTTTTAAAATTATATATTCAATGAAAACTTTTTATTTATTAAAATTCAAAACGTTGAATCTAATAATTCTTTTTGTTTTTGCGTACGAATTTTTTCAACTTGTGCAATATAACTATCAAGACGATTTTTTAAATTAGCATCTAAATCAACAACTAAATCACGACTTAAAGTTTTGTCTTGTTTTTTTAAATTTCGATGTGCTTTTGAATAAGCTTCTCGCATTTTAACAATAATTTGATCAGCTAATTTTTTTGCATTTTTTGCTAATTCTTCACGATGTTCACGTGTTACTTTCGGAGTTGGTAAATAAAGTGTTGTTCCATCTTGTTGTGGATTAACATTAAGACCAGATTTATGTATAGCTTCAAGAACATTTGGTATATATTGTGCATGACGTGTCATATCAATCATAAACATTTGTGGTGATTTTTGAATTATTTGTGTTAATTCTTTTAATTGATGTGCTTTATTATTCGGTGGAAGTATAACAGATAATTCTTCAAATGCTAATGGTGATGTTCGTAATTGTATTTGTTTTGAATAAAGTTCATGAAGTTCAACAAGTAATTTATCATATTGTGCTTTTAATGATGGCCAATCACTGGACGATGCAGATAGATCAGCATCAGATAAAAGATGTTTTGATGCTTTTGTTTGGCTACCACCTGTATTTTTACCTTTAAAAAGTGTAGCTGAAGTAGAAAATGAATAGACATGAGGCTGCTGTAATAATGCCATACGACGAAAAATAAATGATAAAGACATATCTATAAGAAAAAAAAAAGATTTGGAAGTTATCTGATAAGAGATTATTCATTAAATATGTCTATAAATATGAAGCGAAATTGTATTAGAATTTCAATGGTTTGATTAAATCATTAGATAGATATGAAAGCTTTAAATATATTTCAAGAATTTTTTACTATTGAATTGTTGACATATTTCAATACGTAAGTGAAACAATATATTCAAAATTTTTGATTTCAAGAATAAAAAAAATGAACTGCTCTCGACATACATTTAAGGCTCTTTCTATCTATTTGATGATTTAATGGTTCCAGTTTTTTCAAGAATCGTTGTCGTAGATGTTAATCGCATAGTCGGTTATTGAAAATAGTGTTTTGTTATTTTTCAAGTTTAATGATGTCTATTAAGAAAGAGTTGAGTTTTTATTATTATTAATTTAACAAATGAACGACTACTTACAAAAAGTCGAGAAAAATGTGCTATTTCCTTTCAATTTATGAGTTTGTTGATTGCGTCAAATGAATTTTTTTTTCGTAGAAAAATATACAATTTCAAGATAAATCTTTGTTAGACACCTCACCGTATCTTTTATTTTTATTCGTATTTTGTCAAATTACATTTCGATAACCTGTTGCTAATTAAAGTTCTGACTTTCCGAGAAATTCATTCATTAAGGAGAGTCTTCTGTTATGGAGCGAGGTATAAATTAAATTGAAGATTTCTTTATATCAATAAAACATTTCCGATAATCGAGTTTCGAACATATGACAATCATAGAAGAGAATGATCATTCGATTCTTATAGGTCACTTTCTAATTGAAATATGATTAATATTCTGCGTCTTACTGATAGATCAGAAACTTGATTTTATATTTCTAATGTGGAAAACATGCGAAGAGATACTTCGCGTTGGAGATGAGTTTAATAAATACCGTGTCAAAGATAAAAAAAACCTAACTGTAGCACTCATAACTCTCAAACGGGTAATGTATGGAAAAGAAACCTTCTATATTTATTCGAGTCTCAACAAGCCCTAGGTAACTATTGAAGTATCATCTCAAGCGCGAGGTATGACCCCGGATGATTCTTCCGTGAGAAAATGAAATATCTTTCCTAGATAAATCATATCTGATTTTAAGGCATATTTTATTTAGTTATCAAATGTCATCAATACTTTTTTGTTTTAACACAATAAATGAGATTAAGTTAAACACTGCATTAGTTCTACGAAAGTTTTTTGCGAGAAATTCATATTGAATCATTCGCAATATCACAACTGTAGATTCTGTTCAATAATTAAACTAAAATAATTTTTTTTCTATTGATTCAATAAATTTTTCACATCTTCTTTTATTTTCTTTTGTTCTTCTGATGATAAAGCTATTTCATTTATAGATTGTCGTAATTTCAATTCAGTTGAGTCATTCAATAATTCTTCATCTAAATTGAATTAAATTTTTATTTATTAAACAAAAAAAAAACAATGAATTTTTTTACTTACATTGAAGAAAAGTATAACCCGAAAGTTCTAGACAACCAATATTCCATTGATGAAATGTTTTCGCTCCTATATTAAAATTACATTTAAAAACTATTACATCTATTTATAAATATTTACCTTTAGTCGATTGACGAAACCAAACAAATATACGTATAACTGGTTCTAATGATGATGAAAATGAATCGCCTTTCATAATCGTCATATTATGAGCAATGTCAGATGAAACAAGATAATTTGTCACTGTATGAATATGTCTTAAGTAAATATTAAATTTCATCTTCTTTTCAATTAAATTTAAAAGCTTTTCAAAATACTACCGAGCAATTGTATCAAATTCACCAACATGTTTTATTTCGAAAGCAAATCCTTGCACATCGAATAAATCGAAAAGATAACAATTTGAATTAATATGAAACGGAGAACATTTCTGAATAGAAGATAATAAAATAAAAGATTTATCGGAAAAAAACTACGAATAAAACTAACAATTGTCTGAATATATAAACGATTGGGCATATAGATTCCATGAAGATGAAGCTAAATTAATTTGAATCGTCTTTTATGATTAATTTCAATAAGAATAAAATTTTATTTACATGATTAATTGATGCATAACCACAAAGTGAATTAAAACCAATATAGATAAATGGATAAGCACTTGAAGCAACAAAACGAAGTCCAAATAAAAGACAATCAATTGTTAAAATCTACATATATTTATATATTAAATTTATTGATTCTTTTTTCCTTACGAAGGAAATTCTTCAACTGACGAATCGCTCTTGAGTCGAGACTATATTCATCGCGACTAGAAGTTTGCCACTGTCACAAAAGTTTTCGAGAAATTTTTCGAAAATTTCTCCAGTCAGTGTGCTAAATTAGCACAACTAGATTGAATTTATTAAGATCCTAACTCTTGGACTTGCAGGAATTCAAATCCAGTACAAACAATATGGTGCCTATTCAGCAAGTGTGTATCTGGAATGTGGCGTAAGTCTTCTTTTCACCCATATTTTCTTCTCTGCTTCTTAAATCTTATTAAATGTTTTTTTTTCTAAGTGCTGCTGACACCGTCGTGGTGGTGGCAGTGCCATCATGAACATCTCTGCTATGTAGACTTGAATGAACAATTAATAAGGCGAAAAGAGTTAATGCACTTAGCTTATTGCTGTCAAGATACTGCACCTTTACGATAGTTTTAAATGAATGCCGTGATCCTTTTAGAAACATTAGGAAAACTGTTGTGAATTTCGACACGAAACTTTGCATAGAGACAAGTCATAATGAGCATAGTTTATTGTGAACTTTTAAGGCTTTGTAGCTGTTTCTATCCGAAGATACAACTATGGTAATAGTGTGTGTTTTATATTGCTCATATAAATCAACAATCTCTATGAAAACTTTCAAGTCGAAATTCGAAAATCAGTTTTTCTGGTATTCTTGAGAGGAACTGCGACATTTATTTAAAAAATGCCGAAAAGTGAAGTATCTTCGCAGGAATAAACTAAAGACACCGATTCTTTTCACGCTATTCTTAGCCCATTCGGATCTACGTAATGCACATGATCTTGATTCAAACGCGAGTTATCAGTCGAAAAAATTCTCTTGTTAATATTCAGTTTTTATTACTTGTGATTGTTCAAGTTGACGATTTGGTACGAGTAATACCTGATACAAACGAATAGGTGAATTATTAATAATAACTAAATTTTTATCAGTTTGTTGTTCATCATCTAAAACAAAAAGAATCTATACATAGATAATTTTTGAGAGAAAAAAAAGAATATTTTTAATTATTTACTTCTTCATCTTTAATTTTATTAAAATTAAATTTGCTTCTATCAAATGGTGTATTGACATGTTCAAATGGATGTGGCATTCGACGTTTTTCAAATCGACTAGGATTTAACTATATGTATAAATCAAAGTAATGATGTGGATGTCATCATCAACGAAATAAAAACATAACTTACTTCGATTACATAATGAAGATCACCATCAAGTATTCGTTTTTTTATATTGTGATCCATGTTATAAGAAAAATAACCTTGTGCAAGGGCACGATCCCATTCGCAATGTAATAATGTATCAAACTAAAATTTTGTAGAACAAAAAATTTAATGATTGTTTTTTTATTTTAATGTAAATAAAAATTTTACATGATTAAATTTTTCATCTGTATGACATGATAAATTAATTGATTGAGGATCAAATTTGTAATGTTTCCACATTTTTTTTATTATCTAAAATATAACGAAAATAATTTTAGTTCATTGGCATTGTAAGCGATTTTTCTCCTTCTTCTTCTTCATCATCATTATCATTATTATTATCTTCTTCTGATTTAGTATCAATACGAAAAGCACATTCACGTTTATCATGTGTTCCATAAAATGCTAAAGCACAACGAACTTGATTTAACATCCTAAAATTAATTTATTCTTTGTTAAACATTAAACTTTATAAATTGATTTACTTGGCTTTAGTACGTATCATAGCTGTGCCATATCTGAATGAAACAATTTCTACATGAATCATTTGACTACCAATCTTATAAATCAATAGAAAAAAAACACATATAAGTTTTTGCGTACAATAAAAAAGAAAGTTACCGACCTCGCCGAAAAGTATATTAATTGCTCGATCAATTGCATTTCTTAGAAGATATTCTTCTGCAATAACCTGATCTTCAATTTCTCTAGGATTATATTAAGAATAAAGTATGATAAAAAAAAAAGAAGGAAGAAGCTTCGTCTTTAAAACTAACAAGCGGACATAAAGTTCAACATCACGTTCTGCCGCCAATTGAGCTGCTTTAGATTTGTGTCGTTTTTTCATTTTAAAATCTAAATTGTAAAAAGAATCAGAATAAAAGTGGTTTTTTTGTTTGGTCCATACAATATTCTTTCACCATTGATTGGTTAGAAGTAAACAAATCATAAATTATGCTAAGAAATTCTCGCTTGAAACTACTCGGATAGTCGTAGTGTGACGACATTATCTGCGTGAAACTCATTTTAAACAAAAATAAAATATATAGTTTGGTAAAGCACCTGAAATCAGTGTTCTTAATGAAAAAGTGTGTCCAGCAAAACAAAGTATACTGTACCCTAATGAAATAGAATTTACACACTGTTTTACACGTTGAAGAAAAAAAATAGAGTGTACAGTGTACACACTGAATTTCATTTTTACACACTGCTATTTTACAAAAATCCTATTCTTTTATCCTAGGCAATCAAAAAAGTTTATTCTTCAACGGTGCTTACATTGCAAATTTACAAGCAAAAATACTAAAACATGCAATGTCTTACTCGTTGATGTTAAACTTCTTTGTTCTCAAACTGACGTTAAGAATTTTCAAACTCAGTTGGATTTAACATATTCTGAAAGAGAAAAGTGTGCTCTACAAAACTATCACATTTTCCCAATTTTTATGTTTAGTCTTTGTTATTTGTTTTGAAAAAAAAAAAGAATTATCCATGGCTTAAAGAAAATAAAACTCTTCTGAAGTGTCATTATGAGATGATGTTGTCGAAATCCTAAGACAGTTGTTTTATTCAGTTTCTTGAGCTATTTCTAGCTATGCATTTGTAAAGGAGCTTGAACGACTTATGAATTATACAAAATAAATGTTTGTCAAATTTTACGACCTCTATCAATAATATTCAAAGTAGATAGTCAAAAATAACAAGATCAAACGAAAATGTTTTACCAAAACGTAGAGCGTAAAATTCTACGTCGATTTATACAATTGTTAATTCCTTAAAAGAAAATATCTGAACCAAGAAAAACAACACAAGAAAAAAGGTTTAAGCTTTTGCCTGCTGAAGCCAAATATAAATCATATTAAAAAGCCCAAGTTTTGTCTAGCAATGGTCTTTTTATATGGGCCTTGTAGCTCGTGTTGTGATGTATACTAATCACACTTCAAATCATTTTCAAAGTTTCTTACAAAGTCAAAAAGAAACATAGACAAAAAGGTTTAAACTTTTGTTGCCTGCCTTATATTAATTTGTTTTCGAATTGAAAATTAATGTGTCAACTATGTCTGTGAATGTACTATAGTCATTTATTTCTTATTGTTTTTTTGTTTAACTATTTATCTATCAGTATGGATGCATTACAGACGTTGATGAAAGTATCAGTTAATATATTTGATGTGATCAGAGTACTTATTTTATTTCTTGTGATTTGAGACATTTTATTTTTGTTTATTATGTATCTATGTATACTCATTAAAATGAATAATGAAATAAATTTCTTTTTAACAGATGTTGTCTTATGTGGTTCGATACCAGATTTACGTTTCTTCTACACTTTGATTTAAAAAAATAGAAAAAAATAGCGTGTACGAATAGATGGTGTTCTGAAAAACACAGTGTACCTGTATATTCTGTTTCATATTCCTATTAAAAATACTGACCAGAAATTTACTATTTTTATTATATTTTTTTTTTTTGGATGTGAGGATTTGAACCAGGTGCCGCCACTGGTAGTGCATCATGTAGTCAATTGGTGATTCTAGTTACATGTTTTCCGTCAGACAACATACTAATACTTATGCCATTAGAAACATTGTTTCACACACCACAACATCTACAATAACAAACAACTGAACAACTATTGAATATCGATTGGTTAAGAACAAACAAATCATTTATTTTAATAAAATTTTCTCATTGATGTATATTGACAGTATCATTTATTCTTTTCTTTCTTACGATTAATAATAATTGTATTTAAAGATTAACACTACTTATTTTCCAAATATTCCATAAAATGACATCAAGTGTAGTTGCTGATACAGAATTAACTGTTAATCCAGTAGAACAAACTACAGAACTTCCTGAAACATCAATGTAAGTAAATAATTATTTTATTTTGAATCAACTTTTTTTGGGGAAATTTAAATCGAATTCTCATAGTGTAAATGCTGATAACGAAGATGAAGAATTATTAGCAACTGATGTAAGTTTCTAATTGTAATTTTGGAAGATATTATTTAGTTGTTTTATTTTTCTAGCGATTTCAACAACGTCTTGAACGTTTTGGAACAATAGCACCCGAAGCAAAGAAAATTTCACGCGCATTACGTTTTGGCACATCACATGTAAATGATGAATTTTGCCTATGGATAAACAAAACAAAAGAACACGTATTTTTTTTGTAGGAAACCATTGATAATGAGACTAAAAAACGACGTTTAGAAAGGTTTGGTACCCTGCCTGATTCAACCGTAAGTGATGATATGACAGATTGAAATTTTCAAAAACAAAAAATCTTATCCAATAAATTAAGGAAAATGAACAAGAAAAGAAGCGTCAACGAGCTCAACGTTTTCATGTAAATAATCCAACATTAACAATTGATGAAGAAACAAAACAAAAACGTATCGATCGTTTTGGCGTCGTTACACCATCGAGCGTAAGAAGAATTTGATATTAATCTTCAATTCCTAAATTAGTCTTTTTAAGGCTGCGTCAACAAAAAATAAAATTGATAGAAAATCTTCACCAACAACTCAAGACTTGTCAGACGCAATTAAAAAACGAACTGAACGTTTCGGTAATATATCTGATGATGCTAAGGCGAATACATTGGACGTATGTCAAGTTTTCTTTTTTTTTCGATTTTTAAAATTTGAATGTTACTTTTTAGGACCAAAAAGCTAAACGAGCAGAACGATTCAAGCCAATAACAAGTGTTTAATTCATAAGATACATTTTGTTTTTCATTATTCTTGTTGTCTTGAAATTTTGTCTCTTTTTTTTACAATTATCTGTTTTTTTTTGTTTCACAGAAACAAAATGAAAGTCAGAATCTATGTATCTATTCGAGCATATGCAACAAAGACCAAATCGGTTTTTTAAAAGGTTTGTTGCTCATCTATTCATTGATTCGATGTAATGCTCCGTATTAGGAATAATAATATTCATATTCATAGATGACACAAATTTTAAATATTAGTAAAACTTTCCGCTGAATAAAAGCATATCATGGCATGATCAAGTGTTACGGAATTTCATATAAAATATACATGGATTTTGAACGAATTATTTTGGTTTGTAAAGATCTAATATTTGTAGAATGGTCATATTTTGACAGAGAACTTTGTACCTGATTGATCCTTGTTTGACGATGTATTCCATTAGCATATTTTACAGTAAGTTTCAAGTCGTCCACTTGATTCTCTTTTCAATGGTAGACTTAGTTTTTCTTCACTTTTGAGTTCGAACTCTTTGCATATGTGGATGACCAATAGCTGGCCACGTCGATTAATGATTGTGAAAAATGATATATTGATATTGTATCTACTTTAACGAGGGGACGTTTCCAAGTATCAAATCGATTTTAAGTTGGGATTGTGTGCTTTATGTAGATTCCAATAAGCTGTGAAAAGTGACAAAAAAGTTCGGACTACTAGCTTGTTGCTGCTGACATATTGAATTTTAATGGTATTTTTTTGGACAATGCCATAGTCTCCTTCAGGAATACTAGGAAAACTGAGTTTCGACTTGAAACTTTGTACAGAAACAGGCTTCAATGAGAATAGTTTATCGTGAAAGTTTCGGATGTTTTTATTGCTTCTATTCTGAAATAAGAACATCGAAGTCTCCCATTGCATATAGACGACGTTAAAAAAATGTTTTTTTAACCATAGCCGTATCTTAAGGTAGGAAAAACAAAATGGTCTGAAACTTGCACAATAAACAATTTCCATTAAGACCTTTCTCTGTGTAAAATTTCAAGCCGAAATTCGGAACTCAGTATTTCTGGAGTGAACCATGACATTGTGCTAAAAAATACCTTAACCCTTTGGTTACGGGGCCCGCATATATGTGGGCTTAACGTTTATCTAGATTATAGCTTTTACAGTCTTCTATCTTTCTTTTGCCATAGAGTGCTCTCTCTTTCTCCTATGCCTTTAGCTGCATAGCATCACTATATGACATCGCTATGCATGTATGTTAGCTGAAAACAAAGAATTGTGGATTTAGAAGTCTGTGAGAATTCATAGGCTCTCTAAACTCAAAATGGTTCAAAGTCCTGTGCAACCAAAAAGAAGTTCATGAAATTGCGCAGAATCCTAGAACTGTTGTTGCCCCAGGAGTTGCTATTATTGCTGAACTTCTAATTTAAAAAAAAACAGACATTCAGCTTTATTAGATCTGTCTTATAATATTGGGTCATAAGATTATTCATGGGGTTACGCGAAGGGTTTCATAATGTTGTGGGTCACTTTACTCAACTCTGCTATTTCACAATTTTATTGCGTTGGTTGAATCCTGATGCAATCCATTTATTTACTTGGTTGTATATACTCTAATCTAGGCTTTTACAGGCAAACTCAAACTTTTTTCCGTACTTTCGAAAACCCCGTAACCAAAGGGTTAAGCACTTGAAATATTTTTTCTTAGTTGTCCAGAATACCTTGCTTTTACTCCACAATTAAGTGAGCTATATAAAGAAGACAATAAAGAAAAAAAATCAAAATTATTTTTTTTAAGCTCTGACAGTGATGAAAAATCGGGAAAATTTCAACTCGTCACGATTTTTGTTTTCTGGCTTTCGTAACGAATTGACAGTACGAAAACCCGTAACAGAGCTTTCGTAACGATAGAATCAGGGTTTTCGTAACAAAAAATCAGGGTTTTCGTAACAGATTTTACAGGATAATCGTAACGGGTCTTTTGATATGTACCATTACAGAGCTTTCGTAACGAAAAGCATGTAATTTCTGCAAACTAAGTCCAGTATTACCCTCATCCTCATTACAAAATCCCTGTTGCTTCGTTGCGAAAGCTCTGCAACTGTTACGAACTCCCTGTATTAATCGTTACGATCGGTCTGTAAATTTCGTTACGACATCCCTGTATTTTTGGATATCCCTATTTTTGGTGTTCCGAAAGGTCTGATTTTTGCTGTTTGTTCAACTCGTCACGTGATGAGTTGAAACTTTCTCGAAATATCATTTAATGTTTATTATAAGACTGTATCTTGCTTAGCATTAGATTACAAAGAACATAAGAAAAAAAAGAAGAATTATCAAAGAAAAATGATGCTATTGAAATTTCAAAATTAGTCCTACTTGAGAATGGTTCAGGAAAAATTATTTGTACTAATGCAAGAGATTACTTTCTATATTTAGATGCTGAAGAACAAATTTTCCATCGAAATCATCAAAATAGAATCAATTCGATCTTTATTTTCGTGTCACGCATTATACTTTCGAGGGTGTGGGGTGGGGGGTGGGGGCGGGTGTGGGTGTGAGTGCAAGTGTCTCCTATTAATGAATTCACCCACACCCACACCCTAAGAAATGATTTAAATTTTCTTAAATTGTTGGAAAGTTTAAACCTGAAATGTAAGTTTTCTTTTTTCAAAAAATAAAACAAAAGATCTAATCTAGAGAGAAAAGCAAGCGATTGATATCTTTCAAAAACACAAAAATGTGCATGTTGACATATGTTTTTTATTTTTTCTACAGGAAATCATTTGATCTCAGAGAATATATTGACATGTCATTGCTTGCTTTTTGATCACGCTATAGTGTATATCTTTCTCGTCCATTATGCTTCTTATTCTCCTCGCCTAAACAAGTCAATAGCGTAGTTATTCTTAAATATGACGCCGTTGCTTTACACTCGTCCGCGGATAGACAGACAAATGTATCATTTATAAGCACTAGACTCATTTCTTCTTCATTCATTACGATGTTATCATCCTGTCTTCTTTGTCTTCTTCTCTCGTTGCTAACCCAAAACGTAGTTACGGGTGAGGAAATACCTATTCACGATGGTGCACAATTTGTCATTTTGAATATTCCAAAAATCAATCATGAGAAAACTCATTGCGAAATGCGTGATTATCTTCTACGAAAAATTTGTCAAATGTCTCAACGAATGCAATCAATTATTTTGTCAACAACCAAAGCATTTGATAAAATGCAGGTTTGTTTTCATCAAATAGAGCTAGAAATAGTTTTGTTCGAACTTGATTTGACTTTTATTTTTATCATTTTCTAATATTGATGATGTCAGGAAAATGAGCACATCATTGGTTTAGACTATTAAATATACAATAAACTGAGTTGAAGTAAACCATTAAAATTTTTAGAAAATGTATAAAACTGAAAGACTTCAGTTACAATCGCTTATTCTCTAAACACCAGTTAAAAAATGTTGCCAATAGTAAAATTATTTTATGTAAATTCTAAAAATTGTAAAAGTTATCTGGTATAGTTTCGATTATGTTTATTTTGTTAAGAGAACATTTTTGCTTTCGAAATAAGCGAGAGATATTTCAAAATCGTTTAGCAAAAGTCAACTAGTGTGATTTTAATCGACGTTTGTCTTTCATGCTTAGAAATACCAGAATGTCACAAACCAATCTTGTCTTCCGTCTTCATTAATTTTGTACATTGGTCAACTTTCAACAAATTTAACACGAATTGTGCAGACTGAAGTACCATTTATTGAACAAGAATTGAAGAGAATTGTACCAGATATGAATAAACTTCAGAACGAAATCAACCAACTTACTCATGATGACCAACAACAGAAAGTGGTTCAGTTCAATAAAGAACAATTGCAAATGTTCCATAAACTAACAAGTGCCTATGAAAAATTAAACGACGAAACGCTTGAATTCAATCAAAAACTAGTGCAGTAAATATCAATTTTTCTGTAAATTCATCAATTCATCTGATATGTTCTTTTTAGGATGATGAATGAAACATTAGGTCCTGGTATTGGTGCAGTTGATGAATATAATGAATGTATGAAGTCAACAGCTCGCACTTTAATAGATTATGGTCTTGATCAATTAATTGAACATATTGATGATGACGAAAATGAACCTTCTTTCGACTGATATTTTACTACCAAATAATCATACTGATTTATGACTTGTATTTAATATAAAATAAATAAGAAAAATGATCATGATAATATGTTGACAGCAACATTGATAGGTTCATAATGAAAAACAATTTATCATTTTGATAGTTTATCGAAAATTCTGATGGCCATAACAAACATACGCGGTTATAATTTGTGAAATGTACTCATTCATTGATACCAATAGGGTCGTTAAATATATCAAGTTTATATCGAAATAGCGTTCAAACAATAAAAGAAAAATCAAGGTTCGATTACTCTTTTACCTTTCTAACTTACGGGTAAAAAGTCTTGCTCCAACATATCTGTGCGATATTCGTCCACTTATAGGTCGTAGAAAATAATTAAAAGTAATCAGCTAGAACGAAAATTTCATGCTCTTCCGAACTGAAAGTTGATTCACAGAGAGCAAATCTTTGATGGAGATTAAAAACGACTTTTGTATAGAATTTTTCATATAGTCTATGTTTGTATTTTGATTAAAGCTGCCTCAATTCAAACTGTAAGAAGGTCTTCTTATAGACCAGTTTGTAGAACGCAACTTACTCTACAAAATGCCTTATTTACTTTGCTTCATTCAAAATATTGTTGCAAACCATCCGAATCTATTACAGTTTAAATACAGAAATTCACTAAAAACGATTATTATGATTTTGTAGAACATTAAATTCTCTACAACAACAAGAAGTGAAAACTGTTCTAAAATACCTTTTAGAGAAATTATAGATTACAAGAAAAAAACCTATTCCGAATGGTGAACACGACATTTTTTAAAATTCAGGTATTTACCAAGGGGGAACAAACTGATTACTTGATTACCAATGATTAATAGTGATTACAAATGATTACTAATGATTACCAATGATTACCAATGATTACTAGTGATTACTGGTGATTACTCGGGATTACTGGTGATTACTAGTGATTACTCGTGATTACAAATTGATTACTAGTATTAGTAATCAGTTTGTTCCCCCTTGGTATTTGCTTAAAGTTAATAAGATGTAAGTCAATACAAAACTCTAAAGATATATTTAGAAAGATCATCAGATTCTGCTTCTAACCGCCTATTTTTGATCTTTAATTAGATTAAAATATCCGAAAAATGAGCAACCATAGTTATCAAGACCGTTTGAAAATAGTGTTTTTGCACAGGTGCCATTTTAGAATCTATTATAGATTTGCTCTCTTAGAATCACCTTTAGGTCTGAAAAAAATTCTGAATATATAATTAGAAAGGGCATGAAATTTTTATTCTAATTGATTACTTTTGATTCTTTTTGACAACCTATAACTGAATGAAAATCGAACAGAGATGATGTGCCAAGACTTTTTATTAAATTCATCGACAAAGATTTTATCCATATCAATAAGCTAGACTAATTCAACATTAACAATCTTTTTCTTTGTTCTTCATAAATATTCCAAAGTATTCTTTTTTTTTTTGAAGCAGAAGAAATCCTTTTTCGTAGAGTAATAAGAATTTAAAAGAAAAGAACAAGAAGATTGTTCAACTGTTATGAAAAGAATTCCAGATTAGATCATCAATATTGATCATTTTCGTTATCGTCATCTGAAGATCAGATCAAATTTTAGGATTCCGTATTATTATTAATATGATAGAAACAATGTAAAACATGAAATTTATCTTTTATTAAGACAAAAAAAGCAAGAAACTATCAAATCTGATCAATTATTTTTCTTCTTATAACTGTTAAATAATTTTTTAGATGAGAGACCTTTTATTTTCAGTTGAAAATAATTATTCTCTTCCAATGAAGAGATATTACAAAGATTCGTCCATCATCATTATGTAGCTGATATTTGGAAAAACGGATCAGAATGATATCGTATAAATAATAGTCTTTTTTTTATTTTAACGTGTCTTGAAATATTTTTATTTTTCTGAACTCACGAGGGAACTTCTCCAACTGTCAAATCGCTTTTGAGTCGAAAATTATTGGATTGTAGGTTATCGACTATGCTGATTCCCAATATCACCATGTCGGCTGCTAGTGAGCTTTTCGAGATCGGTTTTCTGGAAACTCAGCTTGATATGGCAAAAACGTTTCACATAAAAAAACAATAGTTTTCGATTGAAAAGCGATTTTACAGTTGGAAAGGTTCCCTCGTAAGTTTCTCTGAGATATTTTCTAGAAATCGATGTAGTATTTTATTCAAAGCCGAACCTAACACATCGTGGCAAGGGATCAAAATTTTTCTGCCACTTCTATTAGCTTTTTTTCTCATTTAAACATCCATCAAAATCGTCTATTGAGTTTTTTCGCCAAAAACGACCCACAACTTGTCTTTCTGGTACCGATTTGAGGAAATATTTGACTCTTCTGCTCTTATTTTGATTAAAAAAGACCGCGTAGCGAAAGATTTTTGTCATTTCGATTCGATTTTCTCTGGTAAACATGATTCTTCAAAACAAAATCGAAAGTTTCTTTAATCTTTCGAATTGTGTCTCGAAAATTTTCAAATATTTAAGGCGATGAGAGATTTCTATCACTTTGAGTAGCCTCACCCTATGCAATAAATCCATTGATCATCACCATAAAACCTGAATATCATTGCAAATGATTATTCAATGGAATTTTTTGTCACTTTTTTTCATGTTGAACATTTTCCATAATCAATTCGATCAAACTTCTTCACCTTATTCTCTATTACTTTATCAAGAGATATTCATAGCAGAATTTCCTATTAATATTTCTCATTAATCGAAGTTCTATCGTTTTATGAATCATATTGAAGTAATATAACAGATAATGTTTACTTCTCTCAATTCTTAAGTGTTCAAATAAAAAAAGGAAAATGATGTATTTGATGAATTTCTTTTTGAAATTCAATTGAAACGACAGAAAATGTAATGATTTTTTTGATAAATCTAGTTCAATGTTCAATCTCTGATCCATCGATACTAACAGGAGCAGCATTGTCAAATTTATCACATTTGATAATCGTTTGCCTAACTTCTCAAGGAAGAAATTCATCGAATGATAATCAAATAATAGTAAGTTGTTCAACTGAAAATTTCCAATAAAAAAGTCGTTTTTTTTATCTTAACTTGAAAATGAAACATATTGAATAAAGATTCAAGGAAATTATCTGTCAACGAAAAAAACACCTTTTCTTGTTAGAAATTCCTCCTGAAATGTGTTCATTTAAAACAGCAGTATTTCTATCTTCTCTAACTGGTACTATTGAAGAATTTTTCTCCTCAGTTCAAATTTGTCACCTATCATCAATTGATTCAAATTCAAATTCAACAATAACAACAAAAATAATGAGACAAGATGAAATCACTAATGACATCTTATTCAGTTCCATCTCGTCCATTACCTTTGACTCGAACAGCATTATCACCATTTTCTCCATTTGTATGAAAAATAACTAAAGATATTAATACTTTATTACCAGCAACTACAATAAATGTTAATAGAAGCATTCTTTGAACAGAACAAAATGATCGAAAATCTTCCTTCAATCGATCATTATCACAGTCTTGTTTTTCGATTTAGATTTTTTATATAAAGAAGGCGACGATCTTCTTTTTTCTATTCCTTTCTTTATTGTTAAAATAAACCTTTATTCATCTGTTCTTCATTCAAAGATATTTTCATTTGACTATCACTCTTTTTTCTACAAAATATCTTTTAACAAATCATCAAAATCATTTGATTTATCGAAATATTCAAAAAAATAGCATTGAATTGATTTCAATTCTTCCTATTCAAACATTAATTTCATCGAACTTTATTCTATTTATCATATCCAATGAAAAATATCAATGAAAAACAAAGAAAGTGAACCCATTTATCAAAACATGGAAAGTTACGTTTTCTATGAAGAACGCGTTCATGAATGACGAAAGTAAGTTCGGTAATTCAAGGAAGGCATTCTTTGCCGTTCCACGTTATTATAGAACGCTTTCTGCTTGGCTAAAAATTGTTCTTCATCTGAATAGAAAACGTTCTGTGCCATTTCATTAACAATTGAAATACTTTCGATATCGTTTCTCTTTGGAAAAGTTAGGATAGGATTCCATCAAAATGGGATAGATTTCTCTGACGTTCTCTAGAGACATACTTAAAAACGGATTCTTCTAACCGATGAACGTGTACCAAGTAATACAATATCCCTCTTAGAAAGAAAAGAGCGTATTTTCTGCCGTTCTTGGCGTCGGTTTAGAGAGCAGACGACACCCACACCCTTTGCTGATGAAGTTGTTAGAGTGATGTTCTTATCGAGCGTTCTCATAAATTCGTTTGTTTTTGTCTTTCTTCGTTAGTGAGAATTATTGATATTCTCATGTTTCTTTCCTTTTCCATCTTTTACGTGCAGTTGAATACATATAATATACGCGTACTTCTTGCTTTCTGCCCATATGTATCACAACTGATTTCCTTCTCTTTTCGTTCCTTAGATGTTTGAATGCATGTGTGAGCTTGTATGTCGGTATAAGTTCTTATGTCTTTTCTCTAATAAATTACTGATTAACCGACGGGCAATATTCATCTTGTTTGATCCAACTAGATGTAATGTGGATTTCCATATTACATGTCAAATTGTTGTTGTAAACAATATAATTGTTTTTCACACAAATATATGAATATTTGAAATCATGTGTATTTATTTCAAATGAAAATTCTGCAATATCGATACTTTTTGTTCTTTAACAACAAAATTTGTTCGCTCATAAGAAAATAAAATGTGATCTTACACTAACAGACGAAAGCTTTACGATCTTATTGTAGCCTCGAGTTTACAATGTATAATGTCTAATATTTTTGTGTACTCAGTCATGTGTCAAATTATTTTTTTTGTCATGAAAATCTTGTATGCGCTTACTACAAAAAAATACAAATAGTATCAATACAAGTTGTCCACACTGGCAACTTCCAAAATGCAACGCTCTAAGTAAATTTAGTCAGTAAACACCTGTATTCATTTTAGAAAGTTTCAGTTAAGAACTAGTCTAATATGTGTGGATACATTTCACATTGTTGTTTGCCAAATCAAAGTATAATATATCGTTCGTTGATTTTTTCCTGCTCTCTTGTATGTTTCTATTTAATATATGCATGACTTTGTCCTTTGTTGTTATATTTGTTCTTTTTTACATTGTTCATCTCTTCATATAGTTTGTGACTAATGTTATTGAATAGAATCAAACTCACGTTCACAAAAAACAACAATATTGGTAATTTCTTAATAACTTGATGTTTCAACAATTGGTTTGGGCAGTTGAATAGGACATGGATTCGAATACACTTTTAAGTGTTATATTGTAAGGACAATATTGTTTCGTAACAAGATTCTATGAGACTTCTGTTTGAATATTTCAATAATATTTTTTTCGGACATCTATCGAACGTTTAGAATCAAACATATTGACCCACATGTATGGATGTGGATTTTCCTATTGAGTCTGAGTGATTACGGACATGAGTTTGCTTATGACTAACTTCTCTTCTCACCCAATCCCATATATGCCACATAAAAAAAGTGCTGTGAATACTTTGTTAGTTGTAATTCTCCAAATAGTTGCATCTACATCTGCGTTGATGTTACCAATTGTATGTAAGTTGATGATCGTTTTTATTTAAAGTAAAATTGCTGTTCATTCATGGCATTTCGAAATTTTGAGACATTACAGATTTTGAATTTTTCTGAAGATAAGAAATAGTAATTTACGACCTATGTCGGCCGATATTCTTCATCTGTATATAAATATAAAATATGACATTACATGATGCATATATTCATCTTGACAAAGAAAATAGGGTCGTGTTTAGTATAAACCTCTGTCGAACAAAATCAGTCTTGTTTGAAACATCAGATGGATACAAAACGGTTTTTATTACTAGCAATATCTTATATAAATTACATATTTATAATAGCTGGACAAAAATATGATATCTATTATTGTAGGAATAGAACCAGCTGAATCAATTATGACAGCCAGGTTAAGTGTACCAGACAAAAATTGGAGTATCTTAACCAATTATTTCTCTGTTGCACAAGATTATCCTCTTGAATGTTAGTAAGAAATCCTCGATCTTATGATATCGATGGAACAACAATTATTAATGCTATGACAGCTGTAGCTCCGTCTCGATACTTACTCGATCAATTGTGACTATCCGGATGAGTAATAAAATGATCTATTTTCATACATGATAAAATGCAAGATCACTATTGTTATTATCTTTCATCATCATTAACTGGGATATCCGAAGAAGATTGTCATATGCAGCATGATCGAGATGATCCAGTAAACATTGCTCGACCTTTATTTAGCCATTTATCTGAACTATTGCTCGATATGATGAAAGAATGCGATAAAGATAGTGAATTTATGTCGGATTATGATAATCCATTTCGACAGTATGGTTGTTGTTTTCAACAACAATTTTGTGATTCAATGAATAAAACAGATCCAACAAATTTTGAATTCAGCAACTGTCTTGAAACTTTATTTGATCGAACTGATCCAACAAAATGTATTGGTAGTTTGTATGACTACAAAGAGTGTGAGACCTGGCCAAGTTCCCAGGAGTCGGGAACTCATTGGGAAATGGGAACTCAAACGGTGTCGGTGGGTGTGGGACGTTACCGTTACGTTCCCAGGTAACTGGTAACGGTTTGGTAGCCGTCTCCCGCCCGCAGACCCCAATCCTATGGTCCTCAAGTCCTATTCTTGAAAAAATTTTTTTTTAATGTAGAAACAGACTTTTTTCAAAAGAATTTCGGGTGTTTTCGGAAAAATTTTTTTTAAAAAAAAGTCTATTTCTGCATTAAAAAATGTTTTAATGCAGAAATAGCCACACCCACACCGTTTGAGTTCCCAATTCCCAATGAGTTCCCATTGAGTTCCCGACTCCTGGGAACTTGGCCAGTGCTGTGCATCCCAATCAAAAGTTTTGCAGTACCAAAGATACCAAAATAGTGCTTTTTGCAAATATTGAGTGATTCATAAAATCTCAAAATCTCAATATTTTGATACAAAACTTTCACAGTAAATAGGACTCATTAATATATATGTGTGTAGAAAATTTCAGCTCAATTGGCTCAGTCGTTCTTGAGATATGACCTCATCGGGACCCCATTGGGTGATATAGTCACTCTCAGAGCTTTTCATAAAATGCTGATAGAAAATCGAGGAATCAATATTTTTTAAAACAGTTTGCGTCAGTATACATGAAATTCGTCCCTCTACAATATATCGTAACTTGAGTAATATTTAACAAGCCCGACTGAGTAAATTTGGTCATGGGTTACATGAACTGGCCCATATAACATCCGTAGAGAAACATTTAGGCTACCTAGCGGGCAAGAATCAAAACCGACTCAAATGCTATATATACCAGAAGATAGAGCAAGCGACGCTCTACAAAACCTAGTACACCACGATTCATCCAAATTCTGAAGAGGTTCCTTATTTCAAGACAAAGTTTCTGTAGGAATCAATCAATTATGCTGTCATTAAAAAATTCGCTTTGCGGAGTTGATAAATTGCGTTAATATGTGGTTCAATAGAGTTGAACATGAGCTATCAGAAGATATAAAGGCTGTTCTGTTTTGATGCTAAAATAAAGAAGATAATGTTATCGCAATATCCAGAATTTTTCAGTTTTAGCATGGTTTTTCCGAAATTTCAAAAATCGTATTTCGCTCATTTTAACCCGAGCCTATGTTCAAACCTTTAATAATATATTATCAAAATGATCAACTCGCCGAACTCTACAAACTCTGAAAGGTTCAGTCGATTTCGAGAAAGTCAATGTAGACGTGGTACGTTTCCGATGGATTTACCGTAACGCTTGAAACTCAAACTGTTCATTCACCTGATAAAGACAATTAGATGTAGTGTGTAACAATGATAGAAGATTGAATAACATACATTTTTATTTTGCTTGAATAGTCGAAAGCATGTAAAGCAAGTCAATGCTTCATACGAGTTTATGCTAGATGACATAGAATAAGAAGATAAGACATAGTAGAGGAACAAAATGTACCTTTTTTTTCCTCTCGTTACATTAACATTTAAAGGCGATAGATGGCTAAGAAGCAACAGGAAAGAGAGCGGTGCTGAGAAGAACAAGAGAAAACTGGTAGAGATGCATGGGTAGACAAGCGAAAATGCGCACATGTATAAGAAGGAAAGAGTACTAAACTGACAATAGATCCCGCAGATTTTTGAAAAATGTGTTAGAAAGAATGAAATTGAACAAAGCTTTAATTTAGTCATATCGTATGTACGCCTGTAAAAACTTAGGTTACGAGGAAAGTCTTCCACCCAGATGCAATAAAACGGCCCATAACCGGCCTGAAACGGCATAAAAGCGATATAAAGCGTTAAAAAACGGCGCCGTTGTTCGTAAGCTCGGAAAACGGTGAAAATAGGAGAAAAACAGTGATCGTTTTCTAACGAGAAAAACGACCCTCAAAACGGGTTGACGGATTACGGCAAAATGTGGTGAAAATTGATGCCTTAATACACCGTTTGTAGCCGTTTAAGGTCGTTTAAGGTGCCATTTCCGATGGCCGGAATGGTTCTCCTGGGCAAGTGGTGGATCACTTTTTTCTCTAAAAGTACAGGACTGTGTGCAACTCACGAGACTTTTTTGCAAATAACAGAATCCTAGGGACCTTTAAACTTTTCTAGAGTCTGTATTATCACTACCAGTACTGTTTTAATAGAGATGTGCTTAATGAAGTGTGATATATAATCTGGTTACTATGTGTCACTGCGTGAAATAGCACAAGAAATACTGTATTGTAGCGACGTTTTAACCTTTAGTGTCAGAAAAAAAGGATTTCCAGAACAAATGGTAATTTAGACGCGGTTATGTAATATGACATAAAACTCATCACATCACTTTGTAAAAAACGTTAATCCTAAAATAGTATTTTTGTATACGTAGTCGTTCTCTTTTTTATGGTGCATCTTATTATCTGACATTAAAGGTTAAAATGGTCGGTAGTAAAAGTATTTTTTGATGATACTTCATCCAATGATACAGAATAAACGGATTATATATCGATTTCTATAAACAGAAATCTGTATTGAAAGATGATTGATAGTTATGATATGGGATCTAGAAAGGCATAAAGACGGCTAGAACCATGATATTCGGAATTAGCGCAACGAATTGCACATAATCGTGCATTTCTGGAGGGAAAAACAATCCGTCACTTTGGGAGCTACTGTTGTTAGTGGATTTTTTTATGTATTGCCACTATAGAAACACATTTAAAAAAGACAATGATTCTATTCGCTTGGCCAAAATAAATGGATGCACGGATTATTCCATTTGTACTGTGTATAATCGAAATATCCTTCGATCATGCAGGCTACAAATAAAAGAATCGACATGTTTCACTTCTCTTGGCTCCGAGGATATAATCATATATGTTTTTCAAAAAAGTGCTTCTATAGTGACAATATATTAAAAACACTGATCACAGCTATTTTTTTCACAAGCGTACATACAATTCGACCAAGTTAAAGTTCTCTTCGATTTCATTCTATCCAACACATCTTTAAAAAATCTGCGGGATCTATTGTCAGTTTAGCACTCTTTCCTTCCTATACATGTGCGCCTTTTCCCTTGTATATCTATGCATCGCTACATCTAGACTAGTTTTCTCTTGTTTTTCTCGGCACCGCTCTCTTTCCTCTTGTTTCTTAGATATCTATTATCTTTTAACGATAATGTAGCGAGAGAAAAAAGGTATATTTTATTTCTCTACTATATGTCTTCTCTTCTTATTCTATATCATATAGCATAATTTCGTATGAAGCATTGACTTGCTCTGCATGCTTTCAACTATTCCATCATAATAAAAATGTATACTACTCAATCTTCTATCATTTTTACACATTACATCTATTTGTCTTTATCAGATGAATGAACAGTTTGAGTTTCAAGCGTTACTTCTCAAAACGCAAGATCTTCTCTCGGACAACGACCGATATCGATTCCTTTCGCTTCTTGGCGAAGACGTTAAGAAGAAGTTGCATGATGATCCATCACTTCGTGAAGCACTTCAAGTGCTCGAAACTCTATCCCATAGGGCGATTATTAACCATCAAGACATTGCTTATCTCATTGATACATTTACGAAAATACAGTGTCACGACGCTGCACAACGACTCAAAGGCTAGTTTGTTCTTATGTTGAATATGATTTTTCACTCGACGAGTCAGTTTTTGTCTTTTAGTATACCAACAAACCCAAGGTCGAAATGATAGACGAAGTATCTCACTTGAAAATATTCTCTTAAACAACAATGAAGAGGACAATATCTGCTCGATAGGTATGTATCGATAGAGTATTGCATGTCGTTTTGACAAATCGAAAGATTGATTCATAATTAAATAAGTCATCTTTAATACATCAGATACGAAGGCAGCATCAATCCCACTTCATACACTCGACGAGATTAACATCAGCAACGAAGTACCACCTTTACTTCCATGTATCGACGTCAAAACGAAAGGATCAACTGGTAGATCTTTATATCTGAATACAATGTTCAAAAAGTCATTTTGCACTCGTCAGTGTGTTCTGCTTGTACTCGTCATTCTAACTCTGATCACTCTGCTGTGTGTTCTGCTACTGAGCCAATGGTTTCGGGCAAAACATAATGAAGGTAAATAGTTAAACATCCCGCTGCTGTATCATATAACAATATCACTGAAGTACATTTCTCTTTTGCGTTCTCTGACATACGTAGTGGCGAATTGCCGAAAAGTAATATATTGAAGCATTTCTTTATGGATATTAAGAATAAATAGTTGATAGACAGAAAGAAAAATTGTTATCTTCGGACTCGGTTGAAAGAGCTGTAATTTTTATTTATTATGCCTTAAGTGTCACACTCGAAAGTGCTTGAATGATAATAGAGAAGGAAATGAAGATACTTAAGCATTAAGCAAAGTATATATGCGATGAGTGTTTCAGTTAACACTGATATCATTATACAATGTATCAACTCTGCTCGTGTGCATGTAAGAAAATGAATACAGAGACAAAAGAAAACAGCAAAAAAAAGAAGAAAATTCAAAGATATACGAAGAAGCCAGTAAACGAGAAAGAAATAAGAGAAGGAGGAACAAAAAGAAAAAAAAAGAAACGTAAAGAAGGTAAAAGAAAATAGCGAGGAGCGAAAGGAGAAGAACTGTCTTCTAGTTTTTTTGTATATAGCTATTTTATTCAGTAAAATGATATTCATTTCAAGAGAAGAAGTTGATCCTTTTCTAATAATTCTTTTACGTGATTACTACGAAAAAACTGACCGAGACGATTCTTGTTTCTTTTATAAAAGTTATCCCGAAGAAACATATCATAATAGAAAAGCGAACGACGAAGATGTGTTGTATACATCTATTTTTAATCTATTTTTAATGTAGTGTGTAACGTAAACATCTAATGTGAGTTTGTAAGTCACAGTATATAGATTACAAGCCGAGACAAAGCAACAGCGATGCGTCAGAGGAAGAGCGATGTGGAATTGCTGCTGCAATAGTTGTTGTGAATCTGGAAGCAGAGAGAATAAGGAAAATATCCATACAAAATGAAGAAATGCATATGCGAAAAAGGATTGTATAAGATGCTTCATGCAGATAACCTGTTTTGTTCTCAGCCATTTAAGATCCGCCTGGGATTTCTGAATATTCTCTGTGCATCTATCAGCTATTGTTTTCACTGATAATTAGATTTCTTCGTGTGAATTCTACATGGGTGTGGATGTGGGCCTGTGTGAGTCTAAGTATTCATGTTATCTTCACCGACACCCACACCCATCTGTGCAGTACTATCGTTCTTTCTACCGGATTCCTCTTTCCTAATTTATTATAGTTCTGTGTCTGTGACCAAATATAAAAAAAAATGGTACGCGTATGTATCCCTGACCATCAAAGGGTTAATATTTAAAATGGATGGCATTTTCTATTGATCTCGATTAATTTGTCCCTGGTATATCTGTTGGAAAGGTTGCTGTACACCCTGAGCTCGTGTAAATATAAGAAATTGATAGAGATCACGCAGTATATGTGAACTTTCAGCTGATGACTGAAGAAGACCTTCTGGTTGTTCTATGCCGTTGCCATCACCATGCATTGTGGATGGAAAATAATGTTGCTAATGTGACTCACACATTAGGTGATGATCGTTCATGCCTGATTCACCTTGGTTAGCATGACCTGCACGAGCGTAATTCGTCAACAAGTATTTTTCGGCTAATTGAGGATTAATAGAGAACAAAAAGTAACTTCTAACCAGAAACGAGAGAGTTTCTCGAGATTCGCAGAAAGAACAGTATGTAAGTGGACGAGAAAAATGCGAACACTCTCTACGAAGGCAGATTCCACAAGCGATTGAACTACAAAAGCTGGAAACATTGCAGTAACGCATCATGTGTAATAAACAAATGGAAAAAATTCCAATCGTGAGATATATAATCGAGAATCGTCGAGATTTCTTGAAAACAGAAACTTGCAGAAATCTTCATGACATCGAAAATTCCAAAGGAATTAGAGTGGAAAAGTTTTCAAATTTTGCAAGGATTGTGCAAATCAAAGTAAATTTGAATGTAGTCGAAATTCCGAAAACAATTTTTAGAAAGTTGCGTAGGTGTGCATCCCTTTGTAAATATGAACATAGTTGTACGAGATGCTCGTTGCTCCGCGAATACACCATATTAACATATCAGTATAGTCGATACTTTTAAACAAAAGGACATTTCAGACATATATGCATTAAAATGATTTCAAAACTATAATATTTTATGATTATCCATGACTCAATTCTGGAACTGCATGCATTGCAATCCTATGTGACTCTAAACCCCCAAAAAATCAGAAAAACTTCAATTAATACTATCTCCCCAAACCCATACACACTTTGATTCACTTCGCAGGGAATCTATCTCAAAACCAAACGAAGCTATCACAACACAACCAACCATTTGGCTCAACGGCTCACACAACCTTTGCTACCAGTTACAACGACACTCGAGCAGAATATTCCAAAGAACTACAAAATTATAAAAATGAACTCGAAATACAACTAAAATCCCTCCCTTCAATTCATCCTGATTTGGGTACCACTTACAATAAAATCGGTGGGATCTATTACAAGATGGGAGAATATTCGAAAGCACTTGAAAACTATGAAAAGTCACTTCAAATTAGACGAAAATCTCTCTCCTCAGCCCATCCGGATCTCGCAACAAGTTACAGCAATATCGGGTTGGCATATTTCTCGATGGGAGAGCCCTCAAGAGCAATTAAAAACTACGAAAAGGCACTTGAAATAGCGCAAAAATCCATTCCATCCAATTATTCCTATGTGGCTACGAGTTATACCAATATTGGCTCCGCCTATTACAGTATGGGAGAGTACTCAAGAGCACTGGAATACTACAAGAAAGCACTTGAAGCCGAAAAAGCCTCTCTTCCGCCAACTAACCTCAACTTGACTACACGTTACAGCAACCTTGCCTCTATGTATAATGAGATGGGCGATTACTCAAGAGCCCTTGAAAACTACGAGAAGTCACTTGAAATAGTGAAAAAATCCCTCCCATCAACTCATCCTCAATTCTCGACGATTTACAGTAACATTGCCTCTGTGTATTATAACATGGGAGAGTACTCAAGAGCACTTGAAAGCTACGGAAAAGTACTTGAAATCGACCAAAAATCTCTCCCTTCAACTCATTCCGATTTGGCGGCAACCTATAACAACATCGGCGTGGTGTGTTCCAAGATGGGAGAATACCCAAGAGCACTTGAATACCATGAGAAGGCCCTTGAAACTCAGCAAACATCTCTCCCACTGACTCATCTTGATATAGCCACGAGTTATAACAACATCGGATCTGTATATACTATAATGGGAAAGTATGAAAGAGCATTAGAATTCCATGAAAAATCATTGGAAATTACACGCAAAAGTTCATCTGGAAGATATCCTCATTTGTCTATGATTTACAAGAACATGGGCTTGGTGTTTTTCAAGATGGGAGAATATGCAAGAGCACTAGAAAACTACGACAAGGCACTCGACATCGAAAAGGAATCTCTCCCATCAATCCATCCAGATGTAGCCACGAGTTACAACAATATTGGTTCGGTGTATCTTAAAATCGGAGAGTACCCTAGAGCACTGAAAAACTTCAACAAGGCGTTTGAAATTCAGAAAAAAACTCTCTCATCAACTCATTCCGATTTGGCTACCAGCTACAACAACCTCGGCTTGGCCTATTTCCATGTCGGAGAGTACTCAAGAGCACTTGAACACTACCAGAAGGCACTTGCCATTATACGAAAGTCTCTCCCTACAACTCATAGTCATCTGGCTACGAGTTTCAACAATATTGGCGTGGTATATTTCAAGATGGGGGACAACTCGAGAGCACTTGAAAACTACGAGAAGGTACTTGAAATCCAACAAAGAACTCTTCCTTCAACTCATACCAATTTGGCTTCAAGCTACAAGAACATCGGCACGGTATATTTCAACATAGGAAAGTACTCAAGAGCACTTGAAAACTTTCATAAGGCGCTTGAAATCGAACAAAAATCTCTCGCATCAACTCATCCCGATTTAGCTACCACCTACAACAATATTGGCTTGGTGTATTTCAAGATGGGAGAGTACTCAAGAGCACTTCAATACTATAACAGAACACTTAAAATCGAGGAAACATCTCTCCCACCAGCTCATTCTGATCTGACTACGAGTTACAATAACATCGGCTTGACGTATTTCAAGATGGCAGAGTACTCAAAAGCACTTGCATACTACAAGAAGGCACTTGAAATTGTGCCCAAATCTCTCCCATCAACTCATAGTGTATTTTCTACGACTTACAATAACATCGGCTTGTCGTATTCTAAAATGGAAGAGTACTCAAAAGCACTCGAAAACTACGACAAGGCACTGGAAATCCAACAAAAATATATGCCATCTGCTCATCAAGATTTGGCTACCACCTACAACAATATTGGTTCTGTGTATTCCAAGATGGGAGAGTACCCAAGAGCACTTGAAAACATCGAGAAGGCACTTGAAATTCAGCATAAATCTCTCCCATTTACTCACCCTGACTTAGCTACTAGTCACGACAGTATCGGCTCGGTGTATTACATGACGGGAGAGTATGAAAGATCACTTGAAGACTATGAGAAGGCACTTGGCATCAGACAAAAATCACTTCCTTCAACTCATCTCGATTTAGCTACGAGTTACAACAACATCGGTTCGGTGTATTTCAAGACTGGAGAGTACTCGAGAGCTCTTGAAAGCTACGAGAAGGCACTGGAAATTGAACAAAAATTCTTCTCATCAACGCATCCCGATTTTGCTACGGGTTATAATAACATTGGCCTCGTCCATTTCGAGATGGGAGAGTACTCAAAAGCACTTGAGTACTACGAGGAGGCACTTGCAATCCAGCAAAAGTCTCTCCCATCAAGTCATCGTGATATTGCTAGGAGCTTTAACAACATTGGCTCGGTGTATTTCAAGACGGGAGAGTACCCTAGAGCACTGGAAAACTACAACAAGGCACTGGAAATTCAGCATAAATCTCTCCCTATAACTCATGTCGATTTGGCTATGACTTGGAACAATATTGGGTTAGCGTATTATAAAATGGGAGAGTACTCAAGAGCACTTGAAAACTACGACAAGGTGCTTGAAATCGAACAAAAATCCCTCCCATCAAGTCATCCCGATTTAGCTACGAGTTACAACAACATCGGTTTGGTTTATTCCAAGATTGAAGAGTACTCGAGAGCTCTTGAAAACTACGAAAGGGCACTTGAAATTCAACAAAAAACTCTCCCATCAACTCATCTCGATTTGGCTAGAAGTTTCAACAACATTGGCTCTATGTATTTCAAAATGGGACAGTACCCAAGAGCACTTGAAAACCATGAGAAGGCGCTTGAAATCCAACAAAAAACTTTCTCATCTTCTCACCCTGATTTAGGTACTAGTTACGACAACATCGGTTCTGTGTATTACATGACAGGAGAGTATGGAAGATCACTTGAAGACTTCGAGAAAGCACTTGACATCAGGAAAAAATCACTCCCTTCAGCTCATATCGATTTAGCTACGAGTTACAATAACATCGGTTCGGTGTATTTCAAGATTGAAGAGTACTTGAGAGCTCTTGAAAACTACGAAAGGGCACTTGAAATTCAACAAAAAACTCTTCCATCAACTCATCTCGATTTGGCTAGAAGTTTCAACAACATTGGCTTTGTGTATTTCAAGATGGGACAGTACTCGAGAGCACTTGAAAATCTGAAAAAGTCGCTTGAAATGCAGCAAAAATTTCTGGGTGTAACACATCCTGATCTGGCTAGAAGTTACAGAAACATCGGCTCAGTGTATTACAAGATGGGAGAGTATTCAAAAGCACTTGAAAATTATGAAAAAGATGTGGAACTTTTGGAAAAATCTCTTCCTGCAACTCGCGGTGATCTTGCTGTCAGTTACAAGAACGTGGGGTTGGTATATTCTAAGATGGGAGAGAATTCAAGAGCCGCCGAATACTATGTCAGGGCGTCGGAACTCTCAGGAATTCCTGTATCAAGAAATGATACAATTGTTAAACTGTATTCTAATGACCCTAAAACAGCTCAACAAAGATCGTGAAATCACATGTTATATCGCTGGACCGCTGACATTTCGCATGTTGGTCAGTTATCTGTCCTGTTTTTTTGGCGCCGACACGCGTACCCTGCAACCACAGCCCAGAACTACAGTTTACACCCATAACCCGCATCGGCTTGATATTGATACCCAAAAGTACGCTACAAGAATAAAATGGAACTCTTGCAATCATACGATAGCACCCTTCGAATTAGGTGCTCTAGCCTTTTGATCTAATCGTTTTTTCGTCAACAGAGAGATCTCAACGCTTGAGTTGGCGGCACAACCAAAACCAAAACACTTTGAACAGGTGAACGAGAAAAAATATGTTTTGTATTTCTTTAATAAATCCGTCAGCTTTGTTATCTGATCGAACTAAACTTATTTTTATTAGAATTGCCGTTACATATTCCATAGAGCTGATGATGAGCGATTTTCGTAGAGTAAATATGGCAAATTATGGAAGAGAAACTGAAGAGATCGAAAAGTGTTGAGTTCCAATGCGGATTGTTTTAGTTTTCCACTATGTTTTGAACGCCTGACAGTGTGCCTCCTAATACAGTTTATTCATTTAGTAGTAATTTGAAGGGTAGTGTTTGTGACACATTGAAAAAAGATACTCTCTGATTTGCCAAACGTCAATACGAAAATGAAGTTTTTCTCAAAGCACCATTCAAGGGTACTGTTGATGTCGTACTGTTACGTGAGACTACACCCAATGGACTACTAATTGAGGGACATGCCTATGCTATAGTAAAGACTTCGGACTTAGATATTAATAAACAAATTTTGCAAAAACAGCATTTTCGTACAACGTACGAAAGATTAAAATTAAATCGTTTTTTTCGAAAAGCTAAAGAAAGTTAAATGCCTTCTTTTGTGCCCTAGGGCTTCACTTGAATTATTGTTGAATACATGGTTTCGATAGAAAATTCTACATTCTTCAAAATGAGCGGCTCAGTTCTTGTATATCTGACCATGAACGTTCACAAGTTTAGAAAAATATATTTTACTCATGAAAGTTGATACTTTTCGACCTCTTGAGTTTCTGATCTATAACTTTGGCATACGTACTTCTAAAAAAACCGTTTGAATATAGTTTTGTAGATCATCAAAAGGTAATTTTAATTAAAAAAAGTTTAATTCAATCTTAGCAAAGGTGTTGAATTTATTGATAAAATACAAAATACTCCTTTATTCTGGTTCACTCGTTATGGTGATTTGGTTTCTACGAATATCTCAAAAACTAAAACATTGCAAAGATCAATTGATTCTCATATCGAGTAATAATTGCCTTCTTTTCCTACGACATCTGACTGATTGTAGTAACAAATAGATGCCATTAATGTTTTCTTGTGCAAGAAATGAGAAAGATTATTTCATGTATACAAAACTTCTTTGGAAATATTTCCTACCATTACTGTTTTTTTTCGAATCTATTTGGATGTCATTTCTCTTTGAACAATCGCTTATACTATGTATGCAAAATATCAAGTATTTCATGGTTTCTTGCATAACTGGAGAGATGAACCATTTATCCTATTTGTGTTGAGAATAACTCGGGGATAAATGTGCCTAACCTTGGTATCAAACCAGAGAAATACGAGTCTGAGAGGATTAATTGACAAAGTTAGAAGATAGTAACTTGTGGTTTTAGGCAATCGATAATGAACATCGTTAAATATAGCTCGACGAGAAAATATAAAATTCTGAAGTTCTTCAATAATATTTTAGAATAGAGACTCAATCTTATATGGAGCACATACTTTTGAGCAAAAGTGCCATTTTTATGTCACTTAAAATACAGGAAGAAGAAATCTTCCAAGTGATAGCTTTAGTTGACTAAAAAAGAAAATCGAGTGAGTTGAGATTTATGAATCCATCTTTTCTATGAAACTCAATCATTGTAGCTCGAAGGTTATGACGCTGTTCAACGATGGTGGCCAATAGTTGACTGGTCTATTAGTCAAAATACATTGTTAATGAGCAAAGAGAGATTGATTTGAACGTGATGAGAATGTGACAAATCTCATCAGCACTAAATCGTTAAATGTTCGTAAACAAATAAAATCCCAACAAAATCAACGCACCTGGTTATTGTTGATAAAAACTGAGAGTCGGCGGCGAACGTGGAGTGAAATAGAAGGTGATATATCTTTTAAGTTAGAAAGAGCACTCGTGTATGAGGCAAACGTCTACTTATCTCTGTGCTTTTGCTGGGCCGGTACAGCGCATCGCACATTATTTTATTTTACACGTCCCTCTTTAGGGTGTGTGGGTGTAGATGTTGAAGACACCTCTTCGCTCCCACTCACACGCATACTCAACAAAACTCCTCAAACCAGCACACGATCTTCTGCTTTAGTAGAGGAAACATTCGTTCAGCTCGATTCACACGTGCGAAGTATCACGGTCGTCGCCTGTGACTGAACGTTCACATGCTGGACACCAGAAGAACNGTAAAAATCTTTTTCGCTTTAGTTTTTTTTTTTGTTGTTATATTTTTCTTCTTTTTGGCAAAATAGATTTCACGTCCGATTGATCTATCAAATGTATCACTACTTTATATGCGTCTTGGTAGTGGAACATGTCCACCACCTGCACCTACAGATCCACCATTTCAATTATTGATAACAACAGATTGTTTTAATTATTCAAATTGGCTTCTTGTTTATTCACAACAGTAAAATTAAAAAAAATAATAATTTTATTTATCTAATATTATTTTTCAAAAAATAAAAACGCTTTAGAATTTTACCTGGTATAGAACATGTTACTGTCCCATTATCATTCAATAATATAACAAATTCTTCGACTGTATGTTTAAAACTTGAACAAGATGGCGATAAGTTCACTGGTAGTGGTTCTTGGTTTATAGATGATTTATTAATTATTCGATCTCGTCTACAAAATGAATATTTTTTTGAAACATTTAAAACAATGCGATCAACAAATTGGTATCGTTTAGTTGGTGGTCACTTGAAAGTAATTTTTTATTTTTATCAAGATAGTATACAATTATTCTAATATTTAGACATGTGATGAACGAATGAGTATGGTTTTTGAATCACATGTTGATATTCGAACAGACATTGGTGCTACAACAATTGATTTTTCTCTATCAGGAATGATTGATTATAATCGTGATGCTCTTTTTCATCTTTCAAAAAATACTTCAATCGATTGGACAAAGTAACATAAAAACAAAATAAAAATTTGCATTTTTATTTTGTTTATTTTTATTAAAATATTCTATAGATGGAATGCAACAGGTTTCTTGGATTTAAATAAAACATGTACTGATGAAGATGTTATTACATTTAATGAAGAAAATTATCGACAATTATGTTCACCAATTATTGAACTTAGTCGAATTGATAATGTTCGTTTTACACTTTCAACAGGTAAAATTTAAAGAAAAAATATTTTATATTTTTTCTTTAACTTTAATTTTCTTTTAAAGAACCATGTATGAAACGAAATAAATATACTTCAACATCAGCTGCAGTTATATTTCTTTCTATTTTTTATAATGTTTCAACTGTTGCTTATTCAAGAACAATACGTCGAATATCATTACGTGAAATACCGGTTAGTTTTGTAAAACAAATAATCCAAATAAGTTTATATATGTATATATATTAATTTATTCAGCAAACTCATAAAACTTATCATGTTCGATTTGATGAATTACGTCATAGTGCAACATCATATGGTCGTATTTGTTTATCACAATATCCTCAATCATCAGGAAAAAATGTTGATGTATGGAATGTAAAAGATTTTATTGCTTTACCTTTATTACAATCAAATATTACACATTATATTCAATTGACTTTAAATACAAAATGTAATTTACAAGAACAATTAACAAATGGATTAGGTGGCATATCAAATCAAAAGTAAGAAGAATTATTTATAGAAGTTTTAAATCATAGATTTACTTTGTTTTGTTTTTAGCATTAATATTGAATATTCAATTGATTTTGGAAAAACTTGGCATTTTTTATTACAACCATGTTTTCGTGGTTCGGTTTGTTCACATGATGTACCACATGTTTATTCTTCAAGTATTATATTACCAACATCGTAAGAGTTTATTAGAAAAATTTATTTTGATGTGGGAATTTTATTGTTTCTTTTTTGTTTTTCGTGTATAGTGGATGGCATCGTATAACATTACCATTACCAATAGCAACATTACAACAAGAGTATATACGTTTTCGTATAAATACTCCATCGTTTGCTATGCCAGCATATTCTATAAGTAATTCTTGGGCAATTGATAAAGGTAAGCGATAAAAGTTTATTAGAAATGACTTAGTTAGAATTATTTTTAATAGTTTTTATTGGACGATGTCCTCGAGCATGTAGTGGACATGGATGGTGTCAATTAAATTCATGCAGGTATAGTGAATATTGTACTATTTGTCTTTTGAAGATAAAAACAAAAATTAACAAGAATGGGTAGTATAACATCGAGAATTTCTCTTCCCCTTATTTAGAATATATATTCTGTAGTTCTATTTATCTTTCCATATTAAAGACTATTTCTATTATTAGTAACATACAATATACTAAATCATGATCGAATCAAGGATTTGAAATAGAAACTTCAGATCGGACAGAAATGAGAACAAAAAGTTCAATATGATGTTCTACAAGAATAAGATTCTGAAACTATTTTATGTATTTCATCAGGTTGTTACTATAAACATATATATTTATTTTCTTTTAAGATGTGATGCTGGTTTTTCTGGCGAATTTTGTGAAATAAGTAATACAACATTATTTAATCGAGCATCATTTCTAATGGATAATAATGATAATCAAACTGATCTAATGACTTATCAAGGTATATTTTACGTTAGTCTTAATACTTTATTTTGTTTGTTTTTGTTTTTGTGGTTTTAATTTTTAGGTGGTCAACTTAGTTATAAATGCGATATAATTTCAAAAGGAAAAGCATTAGTATTTTCAAAATCTGGCTTTCGATATTTACGAATATCAAATATAAATGGTAGTTCACCAAAGTAAATATTTCGTTCTATGAAAAAAGCAAATATATGTCTTATCAAGTTTTCTTTTTTGTAGATTACTTGAATTTACGCTTCGTCTTGGTAATACAAATGCACAATGTTTTGGAACAAGTAAAAATGATCTTGATCGTGATTTAAAATCAGTTTTATTATTATCATCATGTTCAAATGGTGTTCATTGGACTATAATTGATTATTTTCGTATATCAGATATTCTCGCTCGAGATTTTCGGTTTAGTTTTATTATTTATTTGATTTTAGTTTATTGTTTATTTTGAAATTTTAATAGAACAATTAGTCGAATTTTATTTGAAGAAAAAGTCGAGAATGAAAATTGTCTTATTGAATGGAGACAAATGACACATGGTGGAAATAATCAAGATGTTTGGGCTATTGATGATATTACAATTCGTGATGTAATATCAAAAAAATTAATTAAAAAAAGTCTACATGTTAAGTATGAAATAATAATAATGTTTTTTTGTGTTTTGTTTCAGAAAATTTATTTTTCTTTTTGTAATAGAAATTTTCAAACAAAATTAACATATATTCGACCAGGATATATTCTTAGTTTTCGATTAGAACTTATACAACGAAAAGAATTAAAGATATCATTTGATTTCGATGATGTAAATTTCTTTTTTGTTTTGTTTGTTTATTTCGTTTTTAATGAATTTTTAGATTCATTTACAAATAAATTCAAGTCGAATTGATCTTGCAAATCATATGGAAATCGTTTCGTATCATTCAGAAAATTCAACATTAACATTAATTATTACACTTCCACAATCAATATGGTATAAAAATGTTATATTAAATTTAACAATTATAGCAACGAAAAAATTTACTTTAAATTTAATTCATCTTGGTGTTCAATGTGAAAATAATTGTTGGCTTAATGGAATTTGTTTGGAAGGAATGTGTTTGTAAGATAGAAACGGTTCTTGTTGAGTTTTTTCTTGAAGTTTTTTTTCTTCAGATATGAACAACAAAAATTCTTCAATCAATTAACAAATTTATCTTTAAATGAAAATAATTTAATGAAATATAAAATAAGTGTGGTAAGTCAAACTATACTAATAATAACTTTTGAATTTAAGTGATAACGGACAGATAAAATTTTTAGATCGTATTCCTAATGGAATATATTTAGTACAGTCTCGAACAGTGATATTTGAATATTTTTAAAATGAAGTAAAGCTCAATGGAAGTTTATTTTTTATTATAAACAAAATTTTTACATATTATCTTGACATATAGGACTGGCGAGAGAACCTTTACAGGTATCAACTTGCGCTTTTCCATCGAGACTATAGTCATTTGATGAGTAATAGAAAAGTCTGAAATAATTCGGTTGTTGTTTGGGTCTTGGTTCTTACTATATCGAAATTTTACTCGATATTTCAAAACGAAGCTGTGATCTTCTTAGGTCATATGGAGAATAAGCTTTCAAGTTTTCTAGTATCTGCTATTCTGAGATATTCAATGTTCGAAATTCTCTCATGTATAAAAGTAAATCTTGTTCAAATATTTACATTTTCAAAAAGAAAATACTAGAAAAACTAAAAGTTTCACAATCAACTAATCTTACGAGGGAAGGTCCCCAACTGATCAATCTCTTTTGTGTTACGGCTATGTGCGCTATGTATATACAAATGAGTTATGAATACCCCCTAATAAAAGTTCGGGCTGCTAGCTTATCGCTAAGGAGATACTGCACTTTTACGGTATGTTTCTAAATAAATACCGTGGTCCCCCTCAGGAAAATCAGAAAAAATGATTTTCGAATTTCGACTTGAAACTTTACATAGAAACAGATCTTACTGAGAATAGTGTTTTATGATAGTTTCAGATCTTGTCGCTGTTCCTATCCGTATATACAACTATGGTAACTTCATTCAGATAAACCAGAAGCTTTCATCTTCTCATTTCAGAATAGGAACAACGACAAGATCTGAAACTTTCATAAAACACTATTCTGAGTAAGATCTCTTTCTATGTAAAGTTTCAAGTCGAAATTCAAAAATCATTTTTTTTGGTTTTCCTTAGAGGGATCACGGCATTCATTTAAAAACATACCGTAAAAGTGCAATATCTCCATAGCAATACGCTGGCAGCCCGAAACGTTTTTCAGGGTATTCATAACTCATGTGTACCCACATAATGCACATAGTCCCAATACAAAAGCGATTGATCAGTTGGGGACCTTCCCTCGTTAGTGAGAAGTTGATTTATGGAAAATTTGAAGAGGAAAGTCGATTTTCCACGTGACCTGAAGGAAATCACCACTTTTTATTGAAGAATCAATTCATTCTAGACATTTCTTTCTTTGACTCATCCGATTAACATATTCTCCATCGAAAGTTCTCTTCTAAGCGAAGTTCAGATAATAGAATTTTTCAAAATATTTAGGTCTGCGGGTAAGGATGTTTGACCTTTTTGCATTTGTTTTTCTTTTGTAAAATATTCATGAATTGATTCATTGAATTTTTTTTATTATAATCTCAAATATAGATAATGATAATTAGCATAAACTCATATGAACAATGTGAAGAGTATTACCATAATCTTCTACTGTCATAATAAATTTACGACAAATGCGCTGATAGTTTTATCTTTTGAATATATGATTGTAAGATTAGCCTAGTTCACATACCAATCTATGTGAATAAAATCAAATAGATCGCCAAAAATCATGATGAAATCAATAGTGTCTCAATGTTTTACTATTCATTACCATTGATAGATAAATATGTAAAAGATTTTTATCTCTGTCCTATAATAAGATTTGCTTAACCAGGCATTATCAGAATGAAGTTTGACTAAGTTTTGGAACCATCATTCAGGTGAAGCTGAATCGTTTGAATACACCAGATTAATATGAAGCGAGGACTTCTAATTACCGTTTCTCTTGATTTCTATTAATTCAAAATATCACCTGAAAAGCTTCCAATATTGATTTCTTTTTTTTTTTTTTTATTGACTAATAATGATCTGTTCAGATTAATGGTGAATTGCTTTTACCATTTATTGATTCAACGGACCTATCAGCTATACATTTTCAAACAGTGTCACGTACAATAATTAAAAATAATCTTCTATTGGAATGTTCACCAAATGGAGGTGTTAAATGGTTTGAACTTGGAATTTGGACAGAAGAAAAAGATAATTCATTAAAGTAAGAAAAAAATCATTTTAAAACAAAAAAAATCATATTTAGTTTTTGTTTGTAGAGATCATTATGTATCATTGTCTACTTCTTGCCAAGCAAAACATACATTATTTCGATGGAAAAATTCATCTGTTCATTTATTAAATGTAGCATTTGTCAAATCACATATTCAACATTATTTTATGGATGAATTCAAAGTAATTAAACTATAGTTGTTTTTTTTACTTTAGAAATATTTTTTTTTTGTTTTTAGAAAATCGATTCATCGAAATGGCTTTATCCTACGTATTCGATTAATTCATCAGGTTTATATACAAATAAAATTAATACTATTTCAAATAATAAAACAATATTTCAATTAATTTCAACAGCAATCACTCTCAAACAACATAATTATGTTATTATGATCGATGTATGTTTAATTATTAATATTGGTTGAAGAAATGTATAAACTTTTTTGATCTTTTACTTATATTTTAGACTAATTCAAATATGAATGATACACGTTTACAAGTTGATTATTCACTTGATAATATAACTTGGCATGAATTGATTGATATAAAGAATTTTGAACGACAAATGAACCGTTTTGGACAACAGATACCAACGAAAATTCTTCGACGGTTCGTGAAAACTATGATGAATCTATAAAATTATATATTTCCTAAAATTATCAGATCAAGACGTTTGAAGGTTACATAGAATTATAAAAATAAATAAATATTACTTTATTGCTAGAGCTTGACTACAGAATAGTACAGCCCTATTGATCAACACGATAAGAGGAATTTCTTTGTACTGACTTTCAAAATGGATTTTCAACCATTGTTGAAAAAATATTTGTTTACTTTAGACACAGTCTTCACTCTCATTAAGTGCAGGGTGAACGTGTTAATCACGTCAATTAGAATATAGACTGTGTTTCAAGTAAACGAATACTATCGAAAGTCAGCATGATGAAAGCCTTATTTGATGATAACCAAAGCAAAGACACATATGAACTCATCCTATAGTTTGATGCACTTTTAATTGCCAAAGATGAGACAAATGAATCGATACAATAGTAAATAAATGAATTATGGATAAAAGGTTTAGAGCCGATCTATTGAGTGAAGTTGAATAAAACATTTTTGACATTCATATGAGAATAGACAACAATTGAAAAATGACAGTAATGATTAGAAGTTTAATTCTAAATACATTTATATTTGATCAAGTAATATTTAAATTAAGAAGTTGACAATTAATCTTCATTACTTCTTTTTTCTGTTTGTTTATTTACTCGATGACTACTATTTTTTTGAATCATCTCTCTTGAAATATATTCTAATTGACATAATTCATAAGATAATTCGCTTGAGATCATGGAATATTTGACTATAAAGGGTGGCCCAGAAGTCCTGATTCGATTTGTGTAATAAATTTTTCTATAGTGAAGCACATGGTTGTAAATTTGTTTCTATAAAGAAAAGATGCAGCAAAAGACGCTCTACAAAATGACTGTTGAATGATCCCGCTAGCTCATGTAGTAAGAAAGNATCGAAAAACCTTTTGTTCTGATGAAGTTATGGGACTTTTACTGGAAGCGCCATAATATAGATCGGGTTCACGGTTAATTTTTATTTTTTGTGAAGCACATTTCTAAGCTTATAACTTTCTTACTACATGAGCTAGCGGGATGATTCAACAGTCATTTTGTAGAGCGTCTTTTGATGCATCTTTTCTTTATAGAAACAAATTTACAACCATCTGCTTCACTATAGAAAAATTTATTTTACAAATCGAGTCAGGACTTCTGGGCCATCCTTTAATCATCAGTTTCGGTTGAAGAAACTTCTTCGGTGGTGGTAATCCCAGGATCTAAGTTGATCCCTTCATAATGAACTGAAATAAATATATTCTAGTTCAATTCTAATACGAATTCAAAGTGATCATTTATTTAATTTAAATCATATTTATATTGGTCCATCATGTCCAGCTAATTGTTATGGACATGGAAAATGTCTTTGGAAAACTGAACAAGCTATTTGTCAATGTGATAATAATCAAACATCAGGTATATTATTTTACTATTTTAAATAAATAGATAAATGAATATTATATTAAATATAGAAACAAATTGTTTACAAAATAATTTACTTTTATCAAGTTTATATGAAACATTTGAAAATAAATTAAATTCATCTCTGTGGTCAATATCATCTCATGCTCAATTAACACATCGATGTTATAATCGACAAAGTAAAATAACACCATATTTATGTTTTCTACCTAATAATTATACTCAACAAAATTATGCTATAATTGGTCCATTTAAAACACTTAAGTATAGATATATATATATTTGTTCTTATGTAATATATTTAATATACAATGTCTTTTTTATTTTAATAAGTTATGTTCTATTTAAATTTGGTTTACAATATGTTAGTTTAACAAATTGTACAAATCAAATATTATTTCAATATTCATATGATAATGGTATACAATGGTATACAAAGAAAATTTTAGATGAAACAAATAATATTTTTGAACGTTTTGATGATTTATCAATAAATATGAATATTTATTTAAGATGGATTGAAGATAATGGTAAAATAGAGATTTTTATCTTATGTTTTGTTTTTGTTTCTAATTCCCCTTTTTTTTTAAATATTTATAAATAAAAAGATTATTCATGTTTAATGTGGAATCTACGTTCAATTAATATTCGAACAAAAAATGATGAAAATCTATGGTTTGAAAATAATTTACATATAGAACAAAATGATGAAACTAATTATGAAGCTCAAACATGGGAATTTCCATTAATTCAATCAAGTTCAATAATTCAATTTGATTTACAAATGTTTCCATTAAAAAAAACAAATAATACAAATTGGTATTTAATACTTGAAATAAGTTCAAATATTCTCTATGGAGGGTCGGATTGGATACCATTAATACCTTCATGTAATCAAACAAGTTTATATTGTGAAGATAAAATTGCTTTAACTGGTTCTTTATTTCTTGCACAATTATATCAACAACGACGAAATGTTACAATTCCTATATCAGATAATTATGTGTAA